CTGAACCCCGCCATGACTGGTTGAGCGAGCGCACAGGACAGGGGTCACAGCGCAACCAACAACCAACATTGCGACCAGCAAAAAACGAAGATTCAACGCAATAGATCAAGCCATTTCGGAGGGCAAAATGGCAAAAGATACATACAACAGCGGGGATTCGCTGGTCGTCACCGACCCAACTACTAATCCGCCGGTTAGTGGCTTGACTATGGGAGAGCGGACGGGATCCCGTATTCTACTGCAGGTATGGTCGTATGTGACAGTATGCACTGCCGTTGGGACTCAAGAGCACGGCAAGATGGCCCCCTGTAGCTCACCCTGGAGTCACATCTTCTACTTGCAGAGAACCATAGCATCATGATACAACTGCACACATCTGCGGTACTCAGTATCCTGTCTCACCGGATGTCCTTTACAGCCATGTCCCTGATCATCTCACCGAACGGCAGCGATATTCTCCGTTGTCAATCTTATGCGGACGATCCACATTCTGTGTCTTGACATCGGGGGTGCAATGCATAGACGGTGCATCTCTTAGAGCATCTGTCGAAGAGGCAACATTGGAGACATCGCCGGGGAGATTCACAACCTGGTTGTTTTGCCCTTGTGACTCTGGATCAGAGGTAACGGTAAAGAACTTCCACTTCGCTATACCATCGAAGCCTCCATCCAGCGGTACACCACCGCGTTTCTTCTCTCGGCTAATGTTGGGCGCTCTGGGATGAGGTCCGGCCCTGTATCCTGAGCTTTGTCTACGGGCTTGCCTTCCAGCTTTCTCGGTCTTATGATTGCATCTGGTAGACCGAGCATTCACTGGTAGTACCTCGTGTGAATGGAATCTTATTGGATACCGGAGTCTAATCTAGGGTTGTCTCCCTGCACATCAAGCAACCAACAATCTCAAGAATATATATCAGTATTTCTATAAGTTGGTTACTCGACCGTTGAGACTTGCGGCTGGGAGCCTATTTTGCAGACAGAACTTAGACAGGGGTCTGCTTGCCATTCAGTAACTTTTAGATGCTGTCCGTATCGGTTCGTGGCAGTCTTCTCTACTATGTAGATACCATAAGCCCTGTAGTAAGTGTTCTGGCCGATCAAGTGGGCCATTGTCTTGTTGGCCATGTCAACACATCTCACTTCATTCTTCCGCGCTTGTAACAGTATTCCACAAAAGAAAGGGCCCATAAAGTGAATTGAAGCACAACCGCAGTCAGATCTTGTCTATCGAAAGCTAAGTCTTCTTCGCCGCTTTCTTCTCTGCCTCCTTTTTCTTCTTCGCACAAGCCGTACAAGCAGTTGCTATGATCTCCAGCGAAGGGTAACGCATAGGGCATTTCTGAGCATTTTCGTTACTCTGTGGACATTGTTCCACTTTCTGCTCAGTTCTTGGGGCGCTGCAGCCGCAAATGTAGGTGAAGTCCTTTATTTTGCACATGGTTTTGTTTCGTTTGTAGTTGTTCTGATTTGATTTGGATGCTCGATACTTGGTTGTTGCTGGGTCTTGTGTATGTGGATTTACTGTCTTAGTTTTGGGAGCGGTACTTATACATCACGACTCGTTTCGCCTGCTCAATCACTGGTCAACTAATAGTTCTCGCAAAATTTAAGCACTGTAAAACTGCTGACTTCAGTGAATTCGAATGATGACTTGTCATGGTTGTCCAGAGACTGATGTACTGCTTCCAAAGCATCAACCAGCATGACTTGAGCGCACATCAAAGCAGGCTTACTATTACCTGAATCACAGGATCGGTGGCATTGATAATTCAGAGCGAAATACACTTAACGGAGGATGGCACCCAGTAAAGGGCCTTGCAGGTCCATGTTTCAGTGATCAAGCTGACTATCGCGAGTTTGTTACAGCCACGTTGACTTGTGAACTCGAATGGACTTGTATTACAGGTTATGAATCATCAAGTGACTCTTGGCTATGCTGCTGGGAATAGCGAGGCGTCTTTCACCTAGCCAACTCTGCCCTCTGACTTGTAGTACCTTTCTCTTCTTGTCCCCTAGTTCCCTCCTATAAGCTGGGATTTTAAGAGCGCTCGCATCGTAAGGCTTTCGGTTTCGTTCTGAGCAGTAGAGCATAAAAGAAAGCTTACGTTTAATTAGCCTCTGTAACATATGATAGTTGATTTATTTATCATAGAATATGTTCCTGACTTTCACTTTCCGTGTATAAGCTACAGCTATGAAATAGCCTATACAATCAGATATGTTCTATATCTGCGAGTGGAAAGGCAGGCTAGATCTACAGCCCGACCAAGGTTTCATTACAAAGTGTAGGCATTGATACCTCACCAAGATACCTGCGATCATCCATGTGAGCCCTATGTGTTCGGTGCCGAGTTCTTGCATGGCACTGGAATTAATGGACAGTCATCTCTTGGCATCCTCCCCTGTCCACTGCAGTTAGTCTAGGCAAATTCCTAGAATATGTCACTTGTAGAGCAATTCTCCACCTCAACTATTAATAACTACTTCCAGCTCACGTAACTTGACGGGTTTTGTAATAAAAACATCGACACCACTTCTAGTTGCTTCTTCACGTGTACTCTCAGAGCCAAGCCCCGTGATAGCCAAGATCTTGGATGCAGCTATCCCACTGTATCGCTCAAAGGCTCGTATCTGACGCGTAGCCTCTAGGCCGTCCATCACCGGCATCGATATATCCATGAGTACACACTTGAACTGCCCCGGCGTCTCTTTGTACGCATTCACCGCTTCCTGCCCGTTGACTGCGGTGCGGTGGGGCTTTTGGAGTTTCCTCATGAAATGAGTTAGCATCTTGAGATTTATGGGGTTGTCTTCTACTAGGAGGAACTGCGGAGTCTGGAAGTAGTCTTGGGCAGGGACGAGGCCGCCCAGGGGACTCTCTATGGCGGGGGTCGGTGGTTGGCTGCATGATACGGTGTCTGAGGGCGTGGGAAGGGGTATCGTTCCTGTGCTGCGTGGACTGTCTTCTGTCTCGGCCCAGAGGGTGATGGCACTTGAGATTGCCCTTCCTAGCTTGTTCGGAGTCAGGCTTGAATGGGTTAGCAAAGATGAACATTGTATAATGAGATATTACTCACGGTTGCGCAATATAGTCACATAATCTGGCGTATCCAGTCGATACGTGTGCTGACTCGTATCTTTGAACGACAAGTGCGTTGTTGCAAACCACCAGCACCGGTGCGTCGGGCCATGACTGCGCTAGTTCTGAAATGTTTCTCGTTGAGGGATCCTGCACGACAACAATATCTGGAGCTAGCCGCTCCGCCTCTGGTGACGCGTCCGATACCATGCCAAGATGTTCAAAGCACAGCTCATTCATCAAGGCTTGACAAGTCATAGACTCATGCTGAAGAGCAGCTCCAGGACTCGGAAGCGGGTCGGTCAGTCTGGCGCGCAGGCCGTGGCATGGGCTCTGTGTGTAGGCCGCAAACTCGGATGCTGGAGAGCTTGTGCCTTGCAGCATTGGTATCGACACTGTGACTTTGGTGCCCACGTCGACTTGGCTGCTGATGGATATTGTGCCTCCAAGCTGGTACGTCATCCTCTGAACGAAACTGAGCCCCAAGCCCGTTCCACTGGATAATTGATCCTCTTGAGAGAAAGGTTTGAAGATGTTATTGCGAAGAAAGTCCTCACTGATTCCCCGACCTGTGTCTTCGACTACCAGTTCGACCACGCGATCTCCTCCGATTGCATCGTCTGGTTGCGACTGAGCCATGGTGACCTTGATGAAGCCTTGAAATGTGTACTTGAGTGAGTTTCCGAGAAGGTTCATAATAATTCGGCGGATCGCACCGGCCGTCGTTTGGAAGCTCCAGGATAGCGTTGGATCGTAGAGTAAAAAGACGGACACGTCACCATCTTGTGGCCGGTTCCTTTGATTAATGGCCTTTGCCTCTGCGGCTTCTATGGAGTCCATCCGTCGAATGGCGCTGACATCGGCACTCGTTGGGCTATTGGATGAATTGAAGATGTGAGCGATCGATGCGTGCTGATAGCTGTGGCCAGCATAAACGCTCTCTACCACATCTTCAGCGATCTGGTCCAGGCGAACAGCTTTATTCATGATCTGCTCCCGATTCGAGGGCACAGTGCTGATCGTGGAACTCTCTGAACGGCCGTCGTTTATAGTATCTGCCCCGACCAGTTGATTGACTTTGGTAAAATCCAGTAGATGCTCTGTCGTGTCAAGGAGGGTACGGCAGCATGTACCGATCAAGTGAGCTATGTTCTGCTGCGCTGCACCTAAGCCAGAGTCGTTCAGCAGTTCAAGGCCAAGCGTGATTCCGTGAAGGGGAGAGCGTAGTTCGTGCGATATCGAGCCCAGAACGTCTGACTTGGCCTTGTCGGCTGCCAATGTCTCTATTTGAAAGGCTTCGCATGCCGCCAAAATTCCGAGAGCCCTGAAGAAGGGCAGTTCGCTGTCTTTGTCGGACTCACGGCGTGGTGCTTTTGACCACGCAAAGCCGCCGATGGAAACCAGGCCCTTGAGAGGATCCCAGATAGGTATGAATGCTACATATCGGGCTCCATTGAAAGCCCTTTGTAGTTCCCGCTGTTCGTAGCTGTGTTGTTCGTTTCTTGAACAGATGCTTGATGGTAATGGTTGTTCTCCCGATGCTGAGGCAAAGCGATTCATATCATGGGTGAATGAGCCTTGTGTGTCGAAGTCGAATATGCAACCTTCGGGGTATTGTTGAAGCATGTGAGATAGAAATACTTGTGAGATATTGTTAGCGTCCTTGGTGTCGTTGGAGCCGAGGGCATAGGAGGATCCAAGCAACTGGCAAGAGGGTTGGAATTTGGTGGCAGTAGGGGTATCATTGACGCTCGCATTGCTGTAGACGCCTGGGCTTAGGCAAGATGCATCGAGGGAGAAGTCGTACTGAGTTTCTGCTTCTGGTGAGTGGACTAAATGAAGGTCCCGAGAGTCTCCGCTGAAAAAGGCGCAGTTGTCTGCAGGGAGAGCTTCTTTGATGATGGTGGCGGCGATGAGAAATGGATTAGAGGATGTGTGATCTTTCTGTTGGTATTTTGGGGTCTCCAGGGAAACAGACTGTGTAGCGGAGGTATCTTCATTATCTTGACGTGCTGGAGTTTCGCTGGCATGGGGTTCTGAGGTGAGATGCGATTTCTGAACAGGCGAGTTCAACCCCCTCTCAGTGAATCTCTGGAGCCCAAGGCTCATCGCTGTGCTGCGCTTTAACGAATGCTTTATTCGGTTACCTTCAAGGTGGTCCATGATAGTCTGCGACAGTCCCCACATGACATTTGAGTGTCTATCTTCCCAGTTACCGCCAGGCGTAGAGTTCATGACGCACAAGACACCAATGTTGATGCCCCGAGGAGACCGTATTGGCACAGAGGCGTAAAACCTGGCGAAACTGCCTGGACGGCAATTGGGACTAGCTGCAAATCTTGGATCTGCGGCTAAGTCTTGAACAACAATTACCGGCAGCTCTTGCGAGGAAGAAGCATCCAGTGCCTCCTCGGTAGCACGTAGAGCATAGTGACAGGCGCCATCGGCACGGGGGATGTAGGTCCCGCAGAGTAAGAGATCATCGTCGCTGTTGTGTAACGATGAGCTGTTTAGTAGCGACGTGGAGGGTGTTGCTTCGGCGACTATGTACTGCCTCTTCTCGTCGAAAAAAGATACAAACGAGCGCTCAGTTTTTGTCTGGCAAGTTGCCAGCTGGGCGAGACTAGTGAGGACGGAATCCGGTGACTTTTCGGGCCCGGCTGCGCTGATCTCACTGAAGGGCTTACACGTTGCGCGCAGCAACTCATCGTATCTATGGAACCATGGTCAGCAGCAAAGCCTAGATAACAGCGTATGATCTCTCGGACGAAAACGTACCGTGAGGTCTCATTCTCACGCCTATCCTCAGGCATGTTCTTTCGTCCGACGATAGGAATCATCAAACTTGGGCCAAGGTAAAAGATGGGGAAATCCAGGGAAAAAAGGATCAACGATAAGACTTGACGCCTGTCAACGTTGGGCAGCGTCGCCACTTCGACACAAAGCTAAGAGGGGCATAGCGAGGGATTATTGGCCACTGATAGAGGCACTATACTAGAAAGGATGGACAGAGTTCTGGATCCCAAGGTCTTTGACGGTCTAGAACATCGTGTCCCCGGGGGCTTCATGGTGCTCCCGCTCGATTCACCGATCATGCCCATGGTCAACCGATGGAAATGCCATCCGACGATCGTGGCAATCCACCCGCAACATCGACTTGACCTTGCAGTCTTGCTCAAGGGATTCTCCGCACAGGCCGGGCAATCACAAAGCCGTATTTACCGCCGAGGTTTTTCTTTCAGCAGGGTTAATTCGGCCATCCAAAAACAGACACTTCACCACCCACAGCCCCAAAATATGACCTGTCTAGCCTGTTCCGCACGCAGCGCTACCTTGTTATTGCCCATGCAACAGAATCCTGTTTTTCTCTCTCACTCTCAGGCTAAGACAAAGTAGGTAAGCCAGAAGAAAAAGCCATCTCGTCATTCTCAACTCATAAATTCGTAGGAGGGAGATGGGGACCCCTGAAGTTCCGCCATGGCTCCGGGGCCTCTCCGTTCGTTACGCTTGTCTGGTTGGTTGACAGAGGCTACATATCCCTGTAGTGCATTTTGTTCAGACCCTGAACTGCGTAGACCCTCGGACCCCTAGACCCCGAAGTCCCTAGACCCTTGAATATGTGGGGACGCCATGTTCCGTTTTGTTCAAGTATGCATATTTGCTGATTTCAATGTTTTGACCTTATCGTGCCTAATAAATTCGAGAGGTGCCACGTAATCATTTCACAGGCAGAGTACTTTGTGTTTTATCTTGCATGCTTATTACATCGTCGCCTCTTATTTCATGAATCATGTATGTAAAGCGACCTGGAATTCCTTTTTCTTTCCCTTTCCCTTTTGCTCCCTAGTGATATCATAAACCAAACCGCCCAAGCATTGAATCCTGTGTAGTTGCCATGCCAGGAGCTCATTATTAACTGGAAGCTTTATTCCAAGCGTTTGCGATGACTAGTCAGAGCTAAAGCACTGAGTAGATGGTGCATTGTGGTATTTCTGTTGTCGCTTCGCATATATTAGACCGCAGAAATTGCACAGCGTTCGAGGTCCTGCTGGTCCCGTGCGCCAGCGCGGTGTCTGTTCTGTTTGGCAGGACGTGCATGACTTGTTGTTGACAAGCTGAGAAGAATTTACCTCCCAGAGCCGCAGGTCCTGCAGTTGGTGGTGTTGAGGTTTTGGCGGATGGCTGTGGCGTCTGGGCCTCTTATGTGAGACTGCTTGACTTTCTGACTTGTTCATTGCCTTGTCTGTGTATATCATGCTATGCGATAATTCCTGGTCTCCATGCAAATGGCATGGCGCGTCGGTGTGGCATCTGGGGGACCCGGTCTCGCTCGTCAAGGCCGAAGCTATGGCTGATGTCTGGAATACATTGACATGGCCGAGGGGATGGCCAACACATTCCGATGATTGGCCGTTGCACTGAAATTGTAAGTATTGGTTTACGGGTTTGGTGAATGCTCCTTACCTTTAAGCGTGAACGCTCATGTTTTGATCTTGTTGTGGGAGAGTTAGACGAGGATTTGGTTCGTGTGCGGGATGCTCGTCGCTGCTGACAACGAGGACGTGTACATCGAATAGTCGCATCTATTGGCTCAGTCGATGGAAAGGGACATGGGATAGTCGTTGGTGTGAGTGAGTACTCCATTGTGTGAATTGTGTGGCGATCTTGATGAACAGCAAGAGATCTGGGAATCGAGCAGTGTTTATCTAACTTAACGATTATCGAGGTATCGGCAGGGTCCAGTCTCCGAGCCTCCACAAACCTGACTCGTCCTGTATGATGTCACCTCCGTGGGGACAGACAGAGTGAGTGTGTGCCCCCTTGTGTCAGTGGAAGCGGAGTACTTTCTCCGTACATGCGAATGTATCTATTGGGCATTGCACTGTCCAGTGGCTGGTTGCCGTCGGGAGGGGGGGGATATCACCGCCTCCGGCCTCTTATTGTTGGCGCAATGGCTACGCAGGCAGGCTTTAAGTTAGACCGGCTGGTAGCCATTGGTAGAGTAGGTACGGAGTATATAAGTATGTATGTAGGAGGGAAATAAAGCACCAAAAACGACTTAGTAGCTCGTCAGGGATTTCTGTTGTGAACAAGACAGGGGAGTTGCTCGGGCGACTTTGTCTCCAGAGTCATGGCTATCAGGTGATAGGCTTTGTGCAGTTCGACGATTTGTATGTAGGCAAAGTACATGGTAAAATAAATTAATTGTTCACTGAGTAGGAGTAGAAATACGTGGTTGCGTTACTGAGCTGAGTTACGCCCGTCTCGGAGGTGGACGACGGATATTACAGGTCAAAGTCCCTGGCCTTGGTGGGACATGTTCGGCTTGGCGCCGTACTGTAACGGTAAGTTCTGGTGTTAATCAGACCCAGCCAATGGTTAGCTTGAGCGGGTTATTTATGCAATTTCTCCATTTCTGTTAATTCCGCTCATTGGACTGTCAGGTTCTCAGGGTTCAAAAATCGCTAAGCTTTTCCGTCGCCTGCGGGAATTAAGCGACAATCGAAGTGCGCACTCTAGCATGTACTGTAACAGTACAATGAACCAGAGGGATGCAGCCATTTCAACGGACCACGGAGCAGTTAAAGTCGGAGGTGACAGTCGAGCTGAAAACGTGCTGCTTTGGGACAATAAGGTGCTGTAATCTGCTCCTATACCATGTCTTCCATGGTTGACATGGGTGCTGCAAAACTTGAAAGTTGGCAGCTTTGCAGGAAATAAAACAAGCGTCTACCCAAGACAGATGACAGATGGATGCAATATAGCGCTCATAGTGATGTAGCCCCGGGTCGATCCGGTGACAGATGCCCACATAAATTACCCTGACTTTCCAACATGGCACATGTGACCCTGCCGATCCCTCAGTCCGTCCATAAGATCAAACTCAATTTTCCCATTTTCCCTCACCCCGATTCCTGACATACCCATCATACCGCATGGCATTTTTCCCAATGAAGATTTATCCTCCCCTCATTTAGGCGTTCCCAGGAGGCGGACAGACATGCCAGGTCACCGACAGCAAAGGCCTCGGCGCAGCACCAACCTTTTGATTCACGACTTATTCAGTGCTGACGAAAACACAACGATCCACTGGGGGCCAATTTGTAAGGATCAATAAATAAAAGAGACATTACACTGGCGTCCCGTAGCTGACACGTCCATCTCAACCAGCTGATGTCGAATGGCTCGTGGAATGTCTCGTTTCCCGTGAAGCAAAGCGCCACTGTATAACACAGCAAGATGTAAACAATCTTATAGACTTTGGCAGCCTTGAATACACGAGCGACATCAAGGATCGGCTGGTCTGTCCGATATGTATTGGCATTTTCATAACTCCCGTGATCATACCCTTCGGACATCTATTCTGTCTCGAGTGTATACAAAGGCATTACAAGACGTGCCAGTGCTGTCCCCTGGATAGAAGGAGGATTCAGGCAAACAGAACACGGGTTGCCAAGGGCGTTATGGAGGCGATTGGAGGCTTGCATGTGCGTTGTCCCAACTCTAAGGATGGATGTACTCGTGAGATGAGGCGGGATTGCATTGTTGAGCATCTGTTAAACAGCTGCTGTACTGCCAAGATATCGCAAACAAGTAAATCACAAATAAATTCACATGTTCCATAACATACGTTTTTGAGATCTCGGGTATTAGCTACTGAATCATTGAACTTAAAGTAATACTCTTGTAAATACAACGCAAGTGATACGTTAACTCCTTCAATCGCTGTCTTTCAGGCTTGCTTCAATGCTCTTAAGGTATTGCAGTTGCATTGATTTGGGTGACTGGCCGGATGACTGAAGCATCACTCACTGTACTTAGCCCATCGAACCATCTCACGCAAGCTAATCACGTTACATCATGCTTCTATCCCTCATGCTTTAGAGTGAAGCTCTACCCATCTGGCGGGCTGTACTCGTGGGCTAGTTGTTGCTTGCCGACAGGCTGTCCTTTGTAAATGAGCTTGCACGTTTAATGCTGTGTAGGTCATGCTAATTGCAAATAGTTTAGTCACATGGACCTTACAGGCGGTGAGAGATGAGCGGTTGTTATTAAGCCTTGCGATTCTTTGTTATTCAAGTGTGCCTCTTTGTGGACGGTAAGACTTCCGGCACTTGGCAACTCTACCCCCCTTACTCGGCGGTATGCTTCTCTGGTCGGGTCCTTAATATTTCTCTCTACGTAAGTCTGCATATCAGCAGTCCATGCATCTATATCCCTGCAATGTATGCCTTCCCTCTCTGAGTTGAGGGCAAGTACCCAAGTCTTTGTCTTTTAGTCCGAGCCGGTTGGATATGTGGCAACGTTCCCATTGTTTCTGCGTCTCCCTATATTGCAACGACATATCTTGAGAATATCATCCGGTCAGCACATGTCAGCTGGGCGTTGGGCAAGCCGTCAGTGTATTGAGTCTTCTCGTGGGATTTTATGTGTTGGGTTTGGGGTTTGATTTTTATTGAACGGTCGGTTGGTGGACAGTGATATGTATCTTACGCGCCAAAGTGGTCTTCACTTTCGTATTTGCTATTGGACGGACTCCAACCGAGATTACGCAGTGGCACATACTCGCGTGTTACTATTGCAATGATTGTCCCAAAAGTCCACTGTTCGTGGTTGTTAGAGTCCAAAGTCCATTCTGGCCATTCACCTTCTGTCACCGCCAAACAGACAGGTTCTTGCGACACAGAGAAGGCATTTGCCGATTCAACTCTAATGATGTATCAGATTTATGACCTTATCCCGTATTTCTTCTTTTCCATGGCCTTAAAACATATCAAGCATACCAATGGGAGAATTTCGGTATCGCATCTATAAAGTCCAGGGCACTTAGATGTGTTGAGACATGGGGTATCTCTCGAGCAATTCCTCCATCCTATAGGGAATATGTTTCTCACGCCACACTTGCAACGCCATCTTGCGGTATCATAATGCACATGATGATTATATGCTGTCTCTAGCATCGATCGACTCACATTCTTGACTCTTGCTTTGAACTTCTTTTGTCGGACTTGGTTATCTTTGAGAGTGTTTGATCGCAGAGGAAGCTGCTTAATCTACGCTCAGGAATTCGTTTACTCTGTCTTGACAAGCAATCCATGAATATCTTTCACGGTCTCTCCTGAGTATCATGTGCTGTTTTTTTCTGAAAGGGAATCTACTAAGTTTAAATAAAATTTATTACTAGTTACAGGAGACTTCGAATTACTGATGCTCGATTTTGTCCCCCGCGCACATGTCCTGTAGATATGATCTGAGATAAGCTTTATGACCCTGTCTCTTCCTTCTTCTTTTCCTTGGCCTTCTTGCATTTTACACATTCCCATGGGATGATACTAGGTAGTAGCCTTTTAAACTTAGGACACTTGACTGAATTTGTAAGATTCTTGCTTTCTAAGTAGGCCTTCTATTCTACTGAGAATATACATATAGCGCCGCAGGCGTATTGCCCTTCCTACAGATATATAATATATACAATAATTATGTAGTCTCTCTAGCTCCTGGAGTCTTAGATTCTGACTGCTTACCTTAATCCTGTATGTTTGTAATTATGGCGGAGAAAGATCTGTGCAGAGGTACTGGCTTTATACTCTGCAGATTGGCTGCTCTAACTGACCGTGTAATTCATAGGTCCAGTTCACGGCCTCTTGAAGGCATTATATATGTAAATACGTATCTATAACTTTATCTAAATCGCTAGAAAGAGGGCAGTTATTAAACAGTAAGCTGTAATCGCATCTGCACCAGCACTGGAAAACACTTCACTCGCGGATAATTGTCACACAAAGTTTCTACATTTCTGAATGCAGGCCGTCTGACAGCTATGGCGTGTCACATCCGAGCCGCATAACATTGTTTATTGGCACAGCAAAACACGTTTGATCGAGGGCAGAAGCTCACAGACTTCACTGGCAGTTGGTCAAGAAGGATGCGCTGAATCAGAGCATGGTTTCATTGCATTTACGTGGTTCTGAACTGCAAATAATTGTGTTCCGTTGGACCTCGTCAAAGCTCCAGTAGACATTTGATCGCCAGTGGGTCCGACCTGAACAAGTGAGGGAGGGCATGATCACTGGCAGCACATCTGCCACGGGAAAGACTCCAACTGGGCAATGAAACATCAATCTTTGACTTGAGTGAGGGAACAGGGCTTATTCCCACGTGCAGCTACTTGTCAGATTATGTCATTCGTGTTTAAACCCTGTACTGGCGGTAACGCTAGTGATCGGAGCCGGTCCCGCGGGTTTGCGGCCGCCCGAAATGTCAAGTTGCGACCCTACCCCTAGCAAAGTCACCATCAACCTCAACATGACGTCTGCTTACTTGCAGACAAGAAGAATACGACTTGTAATCTGACGCGTGTGGATGTTCACACTCGAGCGTTATTATGATCTGACCGGACTGTTAATTGCAAATATCTTAGCAGCAGGAAAGATGACGAAACCAGAGTCCACCAATCATCTCTGGGAATACGAGATGTTGAGATGAACTGATCGAACAAACTCCTGAAACACTCTAGGCAACTTTATCCGAGTGCGAACGATGCGTACGGAGTAGCCTCGTAGGGTAAAGCGACACCCTCAGCCTCAATCAAAGGCGCCAGTTTATGCCGAAACGCGACTGGATTTTGTGCCCGCGGACGCCCGACGGATTGAATCAGCCCAATCACGACCGCGCTAGCGTCACCGTCTCGAACAAGGGCCACGACGACCAACGGAACAGGACTAGTTGATTGGCTAAACAACCCTGTCACTTCACCATGAAGCCAACCGAGCGTGTCACCATCTGGCACTGGGAGACTATTCTATTTTAATAAACTTTGTATAAATTTGCTATATCCATGCTTCTGGAGCTTTATAGTTAAAGAGCTTAATTCGCTGATCTGTAAAGACTTTAACTTTCTCCCGTCTTCCGAATGCTACATATGCACCATGTCGTCAAACATGATCGACCGCCTTCGTAGCAAGAAGAGCGCCAGAAGTCTAAATGACAAGGATAAGGTGTTGAGGAAGCTCAGCCCTGTGTGAGTGCTACTCTGTCCCACAATCTCAAAGGTAAAGCTAACATCTTGCAGTGAACACCTGCAAGCTGCTCATTACTCGTTAGGAGCAATTATCGGCTGTGCGATATCATGTCGTTATCGTATTCCCGAATCACTACTCGCCTCGGATACTGCATCGCTCCAGAAACTTGTTGAAAATGCCTTCGCCCGTGCTATTCTCCAGCATCCGCTGTTCACGGTGGGGCGAATCAACGCGGACTCTAAGAAGCAACATTGGGTGCGACTTGATCAGATTGACTTAAATAATCACATAGAATGGCGTACGGTCTCTGATCAGGAAGCGTACGAATCGGTTCTCCATGCCACCTTGGAATGGCAAATCAATGAGCCCTACACGAATCTCGAGACCCAACCTGGTTGGAGAGTGACTATACTCAGACCAGCCGAGGTCAACTTTATCGATGTCGTTTTTGCTTGGGACCATACTGCGGCAGATGGGAAGAGCGGAAAGGTTTTCCAAGACAGTCTACTCACTTGTCTCAACACACCAGACGACGACACCGTGATACTCAAGGGCCGCGTCTTTGAGGTCCCCAATACCGAACTCACGCCTCCATTGCATCACTTGATCAGACTGCCCGTCTCTCTGCACTTCATCGTCGGTGAATTCGGTCGGGATATTATCGCTTCGATCAAGGCGAAAGAACTACCTCACATGGCGACATGGGCACCAATACCGACAGAGCCATCCACAACGAGCATGGTGGCCACGAAAGTTACGAAAAAGGCGCTAAAGCCTGTACTCGACGCGTGTCGTCAGCACGGCACGACCTTGACGGGGCTTATGCACGCGCTTATTGCAGTTTCAATGGCGACGAGATTGGCGGAGATCAAGGCTTCTGCGTTTTTATGCGGCACACCTGTTTGTCTGCGACAGTTTCAGAAGCCTGGCCATCCAAGCATCGATTTGAACAAGACGGCCATCAACAGCGTGGCATACTGGCCTTTTACATTTGACGAGGAACTTGTTGCAAAGGTTCGAGAACAAATCAACGAGGCTCAAACAAAGCCAAACATGAGCGCAAACCTGGAAGCGACGGTCTGGTCATGCGCGAAGGCGATACGAGACGGTCTATCAGCCAAGCTGGACTTGGGTACCAGGAATGATCACATCGGACTAGCCAAATTCGTGAAGGACTGGCAGTCATTCGTCAAGGACCACGGCAAAACGCGCTCGTATTCATGGGAGATAAGCAATCTTGGTGTTATACAGGGTAAAGCAGAAGGTGATAAGTGGGCTATTGAGAGCGCAACATTCACGCAGACCGCACCGACGTTTGGATCGGCGTTGACATTCAGTGTCATTTCTGCTCAGGGAGGGGATTTGGTGGTGACGAATACGTGGCAGGTTGGGGTTGTTGAGGAGGATTTTGCTGTTGGTGTGAGCTCTGATGTGGAGGGTTGGTTGAATGAGTTAGGGAGGACCGGGAGTATCAACTTTGGAGCAGTTGGGGTAGCGAGCTAGATGAAGCATTGGCCAGGGTTCTCTTGGGAGAGTCTTGTGTTAATTACCGCGGATACCACTGTAGCGAAGACTTTGTAGACATATACCTCTTGCCTTTTCAACGCTTCTCCCGTTACCCAACGTGATAACTGACTAACGAGCAAGTATCAGAGATATGGTACCTAAGCAAACGGCTCACCCTCCCCAGGCTCATCAACACCAAGCGCAATCTTGCCGACAGTAGTACTGCTCTCCACCCTCCTATGCGCTTCCTTGAGCCCCTCAAGCGTCAACCTAAGACGTGTACCAGCTGTAGAGAACAGTGTCCCATCTTCCATCAGACGGGAGATAGTTCCCAGCATCTCATGATAATCTTCAACGCCTGTGTCATGATATGCAGCGGAACCAACCCAATCCCATGAGAATGTGAGTGACTTGGACATGAATTCTGTTCCATAGAAACTCACGTCTGCTTGGACGACGGTGCAGACTTTTCCGAACGGGGCGCAGATTTTGGCGACGGATTGGATGTATTGCTCGGTTCGGGCGACGATGTAAACGTATCTGTGTCTGTTAGCGAGTGATATGCTTCAGTGTAATGTGGTGCTTACTTGATGGGGACATTGAGCTTTAAATCTTTGATCTGTTTGACAAGATCCTCTCGATGGTTGATGACATGCGTAGCGCCCATTCGCTTGCAGGAGTCGATCGTCTCAGGTCGCGATGCCGTAGCCACAATGACTGGAAGCTTAAGCACTCTCCTCGCAAGCTGAATCGCAGCACTTCCTACACCACCTCCTCCATTTATCTTGTGTAATAATGTTAGTTCATTGGCCATGTCGAAAGCTGCCCCGAACTTACAATCAAGATACCCGTCTGCTCTTCAGGCTTGACCTCCATCCTTCGATACAACGACTGATATGCTGTCATGAAAGTCAATCCGTAGCTCGCAGTATCGACGAAGTCGAGACTCTTTGGCTTTTTGGCACAGGCGAGCTCGCTTACGAGCTGATACTCCGCATAGCTTCCCTGATCAGTCGATGGGCCTACCCAAGAGACTTCATCGCCGACTTTGAAGAGCTGGCAGTCGGGTCCAGTCTTCTCAATTACTCCGGCGCCGTCGAAGCCTATGATGTGAAAGCCTTTTGGGACGTGGTTATAGTAGTCTGCCAATTCGTCAGTCTTACTCCGCACGATTGGAGCTGGTGGAATTACCGGGCGCATCGTCATAGGTTCCTGATCGGACCTTGTGATCAATTGGGTTGACGGAACAGGCTTTGACTCTGTAAAACATCAGTACTTCTGTCTCTAAAAATGAAAGAATGATTAGGAACGAACTTGACGACAACCTGTCGGCCAATAGGATCACCAGGCTTTGGGACGTCTCGCGATTCGAGGTTATCAACAGGACCGTACTTCGAGACTCCAACAGCTTTCATAGTGGCCATATTGCAGTTTTTAATAGGCAAAAATGGTTCGCAATTGAGAATACAGGTTTTGGATGAACTAGTTAGTTTTGATTTACGTGCATACAGATTGTCAAAGATAGAGTAGTGAGATGTATTTGTATCCATAACCGTCATGACATAAGTTACAGTGGAGTTGAACACATCATAATGCGGGTATACTTACACGATGCTGCCATCATTCACAACCCACAAATTACAAAATATTATCGACATGTTATTAAATATTACACCCTAAACCCATTGATAATGTCCGAGAAATGTCACATCGAAAACCAAGCTCGGCAACATCAGAGCTTTCGCCTCCTAATCCGAGCAGCGACCTTTCCCTTGGGCGGTATAGTTCCAAACGGAAAGTAATCCATGTTCGGCCTGACCTTACTCGCCGCTTCGGGGTCAACAAGTTCAATGTCAAATGCACGCAGAGCAACTGCTACAGCAGCCATGAGTTCCTGTTTGGCGAAGAATCGACCAGGGCACATTTTTGTTCCGCCACCGTAAGGATACCAATATCCCAGCGTTCCATCAATAGTAGGCCGTGCTTTACGGTCCTCCTCTGAGGTACGCTTTGTAGGCTTTTCCGCTGGAGCGGTTGGGCGAACTGGGCCGCTGGTTGGATCATTCTCGTAGACGAGAAACCGCTCTGCCCAGAACGACTCAACAGGGTGTTCTTCGATTCCATCGGGTTGTACATGTCCAGTGTTCCAGAAATCAGGATCGTGGCCGCCAACCCATGATGAAGAGAGCATGCCGACGCCTTGCTTGAGCTGCCACTTTCCGAATTTGAGATTGGGAATGGTTGATGTTCGTCCAACGGGTGAAGCAACGCGAAGGCGTAATGTCTCGAGGTAGATGGAATTGATCAGGGGACCGGAGCAGAGCTTTTCGATATCGAAAGATAGAGACTTGTCAATGAAAGAAGGTTGCATCTCGGCCATTACTCTGTCCTTAAGATCATTGTCAAGTAGAATATCCAGGAGGATCCACATGCCGGCGGGAATGGCATTAGCATTAACCCTGCAAGTAATTAGTGAAGCCCACATGTGAGAGGACAATCCGGGGTTGGCGTTGTTAGTGATTGACTTACGCCCACATGAGCCCCAGGTCAAGAGCAGCGCCACCTCTTGGGGTCAACCCAACGCTCTGGAACATCTTTTGTCTAGCGCTCATCAATTTCGTTCCAAACTCTGGTGTCCAATCCTTCTTGATAACACCGTCTTCATCAGTAAAGTCAAACAGCTTGTTTCCATGTTCATGGTACTTCAGCACGCTCTCAACGCACTTGTCTCTAGCTGCATAACTTCTCGGAACAAGCCATCGGGGCATCCGCTTGAAAAGGCTGGGAAGACGGTAGTCGAACAACCAAAAGTCCTCAAGGAAGGTTGGTGAGATGTCGAGAAACCGTTCGCCGCACAGAGCAGTTACTGCAGCGCGGAAAAGATTGTTCTTAAGCCACTCATAAAGATCATCGACCTCAGTCCACTCGTCCTCATTCAACCTGGTGTCTTTCTCAATAATATCAGAGTACACCTCGACAAACTTTGCAGTCATCGAATTCAGTGGCCCTCCTGTCAAAAGAGCATGCAAATCACGATGCTGAACAAAGTCAAATCTCTTCGACGGGTCAACATGTCCAAACTGAGAATCGTCATCAACATAGATCGGCATATCGCACTCTGGCAAGCCAAACGCATCTCGAACAGTCATTACACCAAGGGATTTGGTAGTTAAATGTCGCGACGCCTTGAAGAGCTCAATAATAGGCTGGCCGTGAGGAATAAAGTACATGTCCTCTGCGCCGACAAAGATACGTAGCGGGACATTTCCGAATTTGGATCTTGGCAGCAGATCAGTGCATGGCCAAGCCTTGGCGGTCCAGGGGGGACTTACAGAATAGACGATAAGAAGCCCTCAGTGTAAAAAGCGAAGCCAATTGTGTTTCCTACATAGGGAATCCAATACGGAACCCTCGGAGGCTCTCGTGCGCTTTGGCCATGCTGATAGCCCTTATTGCCGACGGACGTGAGAACGTATGTCACGATGAAGGGCAGAATGGCGAGGCTGAGAAGCTTGAGGTAGGTTGTTGTCTCAGTTACTGAGCCTGGATTGGCTGCGGCGGTCTTGGCGACGTTCATTGTGCCACAGCGAGAGGCGTTGGGTGGTTGAGATTGGATGCTGACATTGGTTGATGCATTTTGACCGCCATCGACAACAAGTGATGTGATTGGTGAAGTGGGAGATTTGATGTAACTTACCGTGGAGGGTTAGCGTGTACGGTAAGTTACCTGCGATGCGATGCTTGGTGTCAAGTTGGATACCCTAGAGCATGTGAGCTGTAAATGAAATGATGTCTTTAACACGGCGGCACATGACTTAATGTGTCAATCTGGGGTATAGGACGATAGGATTTAATCTTGTTAGATATGGAAGATAATGAAAAGGTATAAGTAAGGATTGTCGTACAAGCGTGATGGGAAAAGCTTTGGACCCAAATCATAACTGCATGTCGTAACCAAGGTATCAATTGCGATAAATTTACAAAGACTTCCGAATTGGGGTGTTGAACCTTCTTGACCGGCCAAAAGGTCATCATCCAGGTTCTCCTCTTATTAGCTTAATGCTGTAGTAATTAGCCAATCATTATGGTACAATGTCTAAGTTGTGAGCTCAATGTGTTATTTGCAGTTGAGATTTGTGAGTGAGAGCCTATTCCAGCAGACAGAACTTAGAACCCTCTTGGCATCGCTTAGTTCCCGATTATTCCCAGTAGTCCCATCAACGGCATAATTCCAGAAGCAATCCTTCCCGCCGACACGCTTGGCATATGCCCCTCAGGGAGCATCCGTAGCCATGACTAATTCCGCAAACTCAATCCCCAATAACCTCGCACTCAATCTCACCATTTTCGTATGCACATGTAACCTTCCATCCCCGTCCCATTCCACAACGCACTTTTGTCCTCCAGATCGCGTGATCCATCCGACAAAAAGTCCATCAACACCGACAAACATCCCCTCATAGATAAGATAGCGAATGCCGTTATCCGTGCGTGACCCCACAGCGTGCCCCTGAGTAACTTCCCATATCGGACTAATCGCATCATGATCTGCATACGGGATACGGAAAATGCCCCCAATCGAGAAGTTCGGCGCCAAGAACCCCGGAGGCCTTTTGTCCAACACCGAGTCCTTTTGTGAATCGACATCTCCATTTCTTTGCCGTGTTATCCAGAGGCGCGTGAACTTGATAAGTGATAAGAAACAAAATATGTAGATAAATGAGCCAAATTCACAAACATCACAAGTTTTGTCTGCCATCCAGCTTCTGGTCATTCTTTTGTTCTGCTTGCTAGGTACCATGTATATCTCCTCCCAAAACCTGGTCCTCGCCTTATCGGCGCTGCCCTCAGCATTCGGCAAATCCTTCTCTCACCATGCCGAAGCTCCTCAAGGCTGGCAAGTCCAGAAAACCGCCAAAGTCGCTTCTTCCAACACGCAGCACGTCTTCAGTCTTGCACTAACCCTGCAAAACGTCGACCAGCTTCAATCAAAGCTTCTTGACCTCTCCAGCCCCGACAGCGCCAACTACGGCAACTGGCTGTCCCACGACGAGCTCACGGACACTTTCTCTCCTTCCGAGGAGGCTGTGGCTAGTGTGACCAAGTGGCTCAAGTCAAAGGGCATCAAGCACTACAAGGTCAACGGTGCTTTCATTGACTTTGCTGCTGATGTTGAGAAGGCGAATACCCTTCTTGGGGGTGATTATCAGTACTACACCAAGGATGGTCAGACGAAGCTGAGAACCCTGTCTTACTCCATCCCTGATGATATTGCTGGTCACGTTCAATTCGTTGATCCTAGCACAAACTTCGGTGGCACCGTTGTGTTCAACCCCGTGCCTCACCCATCGCGCACTCTCAAAGAGCGCAAGGTCTCTCCCTCCAAGAGCACCGTTGATGCTTCATGCCAAACAAGCATCACCCCTTCTTGCCTTAAGCAGATGTACAACATTGGCGACTACACTCCCGATGCCGAGTCTGGAAGTGAGATTGGTTTCAGCAGCTTTCTCGGCCAGGCTGCTATCTACTCTGATGTCTTCAAGTTTGAGGAGCTGTTTGGCATTCCTAAGCAGAACTACACCACTATTCTGATCAATAACGGAACTGATGATCAGAACACTGCGCATGGAAACTATGGGGAGGCTAACCTCGATGCTGAGAACATTGTTGGAATTGCTCATCCTCTTCCTTTCAAGCAGTTCATCACTGGAGGTTCACCGTGAGTTTCATTCATTCTGTGTCAGCTGACGAGTTAATAACGTGCGCAGACCTTTCGTTCCCAACATCGATCAACCTACCGAGAAGGATAACCAGAACGAGCCCTACGTGCCTTTCTTCCGTTACCTATTGGGCCAGAAGCATCTCCCTGCCGTCATCTCCACTTCCTACGGTGATGAAGAAGACGTAAGTTCCATCATCTAGTTCTTGGCATAAGTACCATCTAACTCTGCAACAGAGCGTCCCTCGTGAGTATGCTGAGCTCACCTGCAACATGATCGGTCTTCTCGGCCTCCGAGGTATCAGCGTCATCTTTTCCTCCGGTGACATCGGTGTCGGTTCTGGCTGCCTTGCTCCCGACTACAAGACCGTTGAGTTCAATGCCATCTTCCCCGCCACATGCCCCTACCTCACCTCCGTCGGTGGCACCGTCGACGTCACCCCCGAGATCGCCTGGGAGGGATCCTCTGGTGGTTTCAGCAAGTACTTCCCCCGACCCAGCTACCAGGACAAGGCCATCAAGAAATACATGAAGACCGTCTCCAAGGAGACCAAGAAGTACTACGGTCCTTACACCAACTGGGAGGGCCGGGGTTTCCCTGATGTCGCTGGACACAGTGTTGCCCCTGACTACGAGGTTATCTACAACGGTAAGCAGGCTCGAAGCGGAGGTACCAGCGCTGCTGCTCCTGTTTGGGCTGCTATCGTTGGTCTGTTGAACGATGCCCGCTTTAAGGCTGGTAAGAAGAGCTTGGGCTGGTTGAACCCTCTCATCTACAAGCATGGACCCAAGGTTTTGACTGACATCACCGGTGGTTATGCTATCGGATGTGATGGCAACAACACCCAGTCTGGAAAGCCCGAGCCCGCTGGATCTGGTCTTGTTCCTGGTGCTCGATGGAACGCCACAGCTGGATGGGATCCTACCACTGGATACGGAACTCCCAACTTCCAGAAGTTGAAGGACTTAGTTCTCAGCTTGTAAGATCTATAGACATTTAAGTTATAAATCTGATCTGTAATTTCTTCGCACTTATGCATCAACATCATGTCCATTTCCATCAGTCTTTGGTCAGCAAAGGAGAATGTTGACCCCGCGCTCTTCTGCCAGGTCCTTGATTTCTTGCATCCTTTCACTCTTCAGGATGTCACAAAGTGCTTCGATACAATCCAGTGTATGAAGATTTCTTAATCTCCCTTGTGGTCCCGTCTCCCCGATGAGATTAAAGACAAAGTCCAAGAAGGGTGAAATTTCATGCTCGGGACGGTATAGGGAATCGCAGCACAACTTCATGTCCAAGAGCCTGACTCGCTGGATAGATTCCGGCAACCCCACGGGACTTGCCTCTAGAGGTCCTAAGCGTGACCCTAGATCGTGACCATATAGATGAGGCATGGGAACCCTGAGAACTTCGAGTCTAGTGAGTTGGTGGTAGCAATTGAAATCGATGGTCTTAGGATCGCCTGTTCCGTCGCCAACAGTATCTCCCACCCACTCAACTTCACAGTGATCAACACATAGATGCAACTCCTCCAGAGATGCTGCATGATTGATCAGGCTCCTAGCTAGTATGGTCCAGTTCCGTTTGATGTTCTCGAGATTCCATGAGAAGTCAAGGTAGAAATATCTCAAGCTGGTACAAGAAACAAGAAGATCTGCGAGTCCCTCGCTCGTCAAGTTAGTTTCTCTCATAGTGACAGACTCAATAGACGAGGTACCCTTCGGAAACGGCATGCAATATTTGTCTTTAGTATAGTTTTGAACGTCTTCCTCAGGATCGTTGTAAACTTGATCACCAACTCTGTAAGTTTTGAGGATCTTGAGATTGGGGAGGTAGAGAAACGGTGTTAGGAACTTGAGCCCAAGAATAGTGTCGATATACCCGTTTCGAAACTCGAGTTCTCGAAGCTTGGCCAGTGGTAGCAGCGCATGTGGCTTCGCGTCTTCGTCGTCAAAGCGAAGAGCCAGTTGTTTTGCAAAGTGCAGGACCAACGGACCCTCGTCATGTCCTGGCGTCGGATCAAAGGAAGGAATGGTCATACTGAGGCATCTCAAGTTCGTCGCCCATGCGAGGACGAGAGTAGCGATAGCGTCGTCCTTGCCTTCAAGAATACGGGCACATATACATGTTGACTTGGCGAGTGTCGGAACCACTTCTTCAGCTGCCCTAGCGAGCATCTGGAGATTTTCAGGCTTCATGGGCCGCGTTGCATTGCGGTCACCACTTCTGTTAAAGCCTGGAAACGAAAACGATAGAGTCCTGACTTGTAGACGGTATTCAGGATGGCGCAAGAGCTCGAGCGCTAGTCTTGAGATTGGTGGGCATAGCGAATCGCCGTCGTAGTACTCGATATCATCGTAGTAGCCGTAGTATCCTTCATCAGTCCAGTGACGGACGCGGAGAGGACTGGCGAGCTGGTTGAAGTGCTTGTTGACGAGAGTGACGTTGAAGATGCTGGAGTGGTCGATGTCAGAGAGATGTGTGAAGATAATCGTGAGGATCTCATTTGGTATATCTTTGAGGCGAGCCATGGCGATCTTAATGCATGAGATTGATAGTATGATGCGAGATACTGTTTCGCCCTGTTACGGAGACATGAGGCGCGAATTAGGCAACGATGTCACGTGCTCGACCAGGTTGTTGCACGTTGTTGTTGGACATGATGAACTGTAACTTGCCAGGCACAAGAATATGGTTAATCGACTGAGTCAATTGATCGAACTTCCTATCACAGTAACATCAATATATCGCATTAAACTTTGGTGGGTACTAAGGCGGTGTCAGACAAGATTAGTTTTCAACACTTAGTGACCGAGTGGATTGAGGATGAATTATAAGATATCGAAGCGTATTTTTGTATGTATTTCCAAATGATATTTATTATTGTAGTGACTCAAGTACTTGCAAGTCTCGGACTCATTGTATTTTCGGACCAGGCTGGGTAGAAGCCATCGCAGGTCATAGAGCTTGACCATACAATCTGGATTACTCACGGGGTAAGTTAACATGAAAATAACCCCCCGCGGACCCACGCTATCTCTTCTTTGGCTCGCCAAGCCTTTATATGGCTCAGCTGGGAACCCGGGAGTTAAAACCGGTAGTTACACAATCAGCCCTAATCTGGCGCCGGGCAAGCTCAGCTCTAAAATGCTCCGACGGAACGACAAGTCATCCACGCATCAGCAACGCCGACCAATATCTCCGACCCGCGGTGTCCTCACACTCCGGTAGCAGTTCTCCCGAGCCTCCGTGCCTGTCCTTATCAAAGCTTAATTTATCCAAATTGCGTAATAGGCAGTCATTTCAAGCATGTGATGGCCATGAAGCTATCGTTAGTCATGCTGGTCATGACCCAGTTAGATCATGACATGTCTCGCAAGCTAAACCCAATTCCGACATCTCTATCAAAACGGAGTTTATCTCTATGGACGATTTAACACTTGCGGGTCCCTGCATATCAACATCTGTTAGTAAATACCTCATTCTACGACTTAAAACAGTCAAGGCTAAGGTAGATCTTAATTTGTCGTTATCGGCGAATACCCACGTGGCTCCAAAGATAAAAAACCCAACGGGCTTTCGCCAGCCTTGCAGCTCCGTCTTCACGTGTCAGTGACACTTGCGTCATGAGGCTAAAAAAAGTGGCATGTCATTATAAAATTTTTAATATGGAAATGTTGGGAAATCAGTCGTTGGGAAGCAGCGGTGCAATTTTTCGCCCGTGTCTTATGACCTTTTTACGTATTCTACGTCAGCCTATTTTGCCTCTGTGAAACCCATAAAGAGGCGTGATGGCATCGCTACCTTGACTGGCCTTGTTGAAGGTCAACTATGCTTTGTTACTTCTCTTATCAGCCCCATCAATAAACATGGACTCGGACGACGATCTCAAAACCGCCATTTCTCAGCCACAGAGGCCATCCAGATTCCGGAATCTCGGTCTAGCTCTGCGAGTGTTTACCCTTTGTGTTACGATCTCGGGCATTGTCGTTTCAGCTATCCCTTCATCGAGGAACGCTGAGGCGATTGGAATATTAGGTCCTGCAGTAAGTCTGCTACGTCTCTCGATCAAGGTACTGGCTAAACAATAAGTTCATCGCGGCGCTCTGCTGGTCATTAATAGAGCTCGTCTGCTCGGTGACCAAGACCCTTCCGACCATCCGCCCATCGTTCAGCCTCGTCATACATTGCTTCATTGCCCTTGGATCGATTGCTTGCCTTGGTTGCTTCGGATGGTATCGAGATTGGTGGCCCGGCGGCAACGCTCTTGATGACGACACTGAAGGTTCAGAGCCTCTCTTCCTTGCCGCACTGGTCCTTGCCTGCGTGTCGACGTAAGTTTCATATGAATGCATCCCACAACTGCCTCTTCTAACGTTCATGTCCGCACTTAGGGTCGTTGAAATCAGCCTCTGTATCATCGGCTTTATCGAGTGACTTGCTCAAGATGTCCCCCACATACGAGACGGAACGAACGATGATGTAATGATAAACGTTGGAGATTGAATGTAATGGATATTTGATGAGTTGGCATTTATTGGAGTATGGTTGATATCCTTCGAGGATTTTGTCGAGATACCAAGAATAAACGCCTGGGACCCCGGAATGTTGGAAGATTGTACTTATTTCCTTGATATATTTACTTAGACTAGAAGCACTGGACTCATCCTTTAATCTTTTCTCTCTCTATCACATCGACTCTTTTTTCATGTCCTTTCGTCTTGTCTCGCGGATATCTCGGGATGATCCTCCACCAACGCTTCGGGCCGATGACATCTAGTGCTTATCCTTGCTCATGATCGCTGTGCGACGCCGCTATGTCTTAGGTGAGATTACCATGAATGGGATCATGGAACGACATTTAATGTGACGTAACACCTGCACTGATCAAGTCACGCCCCCTTGTTTATAAGTGGCTTTTTCATGTCAACTTAGGAGACATTCACCTCAACCTTTCACTACACGAGCTGGCTGCAGCAGGACCTATCAGCATCAATGGATACGAAGAAGCAACGCATCGTCATTGCAGGCGGAGGATTGGGAGGTCTCACTGCAGCCTGCCGATTGGCGCGCGACGGCCACAAAGTCGACCTCTTCGAGATCCCAGTCGCTATCCACCGCAAGCGGAGCCATTTTTGTAAGATCAAATGGTGTCAGATGTTTCTACCGATGGCAGATGCGCGAAGCTTTTGAAGCCGTGACTGCCCCGATCAAAGAGCACGGGGCTCGGAATGGTAGCACGAATGAACTGTTGCATACTCTCGATCCTGGGATTTACTCCCAGTTTCCAGAATGGTCCACTGATCGCCAAGCCTTGCAGACCGTCTTACACGATGAGGCTTGTAAGGCCGGAGCCAAAGTGCACTTTGGAAACGAGATCGTCACAGTTGAGGATGATGATCATGCTGCGTATGCATCGTTCAAGAATGGCACCAGAATCACGGCGGATTTGATCTTGGCAGCAGATGGGATATCCTCTCGTCTGCGGCCTCAGGTTCTTTCTCACGTTGACCCATCCCGTCTTACAGTGATTCGGGCACCTTCGACGCACTACCCAACTGAAATACCTGCTGAGATGCTCGCCAATGACGACAAAACCAAATCCCTCTGTCAGCAGCCCGAGTCTGAGAACGGAATCATGTGGGCTGGCCACGGTGGTTATGCCATTGGCAAGTACAATCACCATCGAGGTCTTTTCAACATCATGTTCTCAATCCAACACGGTGCTGCAGACAGTGAAGCCAGCGAGAAAAAGCTCTTTGACGCGACTGATGACAGCCAAGTTGTCAAGAGTTTCTTCTCGTCGTTCAACCCCACGGTCGTCGCTCTGGCAAACATGGTGCAGAGCTGTTCCCGTTGGCGTCTAGCGAGACTGGAGCCTTTAGATACGTGGTCGAGTCCGAAGCGGAGACTGGTACTTCTTGGAGACTCTGCGCACGCGATGCTTCCGAACCTAGCAGAAGGATTCAGCTCTATTGTGGAAGATATAGATGCCTTATCCATACTATTCTCGGAGAGCAGCCAGGACGTGCCGAAGACCATAGAGACTTGGGAGAAGATTCGCATTCCTAGGGTAACAAGGCTTCAGAATGGGTCGACGTGGAACTACAAACTGTACAACTCTGGCAAGCCTCCGGGGTCCGAGTTGACGGGCGAGCAGAGAGCATTATCTATGGGCGTAGGAGACGGAAATGCACCATTCAACACTCTGCCTTTTGATAAGTGGATGTTTGACTACGACACGGCCAAAGAGGTAAGCAGCAGCAAAAGGACATGCATTGCAACGTTCTAATAGTGACTAGGTCCGACTTGCAACGAAAGCTTACTTCTCATAACTCAGCGAACCAGCGAAATAATCTTTCCGAATGTCAAAGTGCTGATTCATGATGGCGGCTTTTCAGCCGCGAGTATACGATTATGAAATAAAATAACTCTATTATACTCTATTGTAGCTCTAATATTCTAGCTATCAAAATTCCGATATGGGCATTGGACAGACTCGTTCTTATCCTGCAGGCACAGCTGCCGGGCTTCACTGGTCCCAACTGCACCGTAAGCGGTTAGATCTGGGCTGACACCTATCGTGTCGTACTTCTGCAACAGGTTTCTAACTTTGCTTTGGGCAGCCTTTCGCTTCTCAGGAGTTCCCAGCAGATTATCCAGAACCCACTTCGGCTGCAAAGCAATCACTGGCACACTCATATGTCTGCTCCACCGCTTCTGGTGTGCCGGCGTCAACATCACCGGGAAGACTGGCTCTCCATTGAAGCAAAACGTCCATTTTGCATCCTCTGTGTCTTGTGGGATATCCTCCGGCCAAGGTCTTGGATCGCAGATACGAAGGCCTCGGAGCATGTCCCAGAACGTGCGGTTGTGCTCCTCCACGGTACGCTGCTTCTCAGAGGGGGCGCCGATGATAACGAGGGATGTATTTGGACCCAAAGAGGTTGAAATGCGAAGATACTCGGTTAGAGCGAGAGCTACCTTGCGTACGTTACGGGGCTCCGAAGGGTTGTCTGACTCGAGGAAAACATAGCGATGATCGTCTGATCGATATCCCATGGTGGCGTATATGCAAGGAAAGGTCTTCATGCCACTCCCTTTTGCCAATATTGTGCCTTTGAAATCTTGGTATGCAAGGCCTCGCCAAGTATCCTTGTCGAACTGAGTCTCAACTTCCTTTCTGCTGGCATGTCAGCTTTGCGAGCACAACGGATTGGTTAGTCACGAACCTCGTCAGCAGCTCCGCCAGTGAAGATGATCGGGTTTCATCAGCGTCACCGGTGCGTAAGGTATCTTCCTCCTGTTTCGATGCAGGTATCGCAACTTTGGAGTCATTCGTGAAAAATCTCAACTTCTTTATGAGTCGATTGATGGGGGCTTTCAGAGATCGCGTTAGTCTAGTCACCGCCGTGACGACAATGAATAATATGATGGCATTGATCGCAAGTTGCATGATGATGATAGATTGATAATGCGTAGAAATACAATGTGTAGAAATAGTACGTCATAGGTTCAAAAAGGGGTATCTCAGAACAAACGCGCATAATTGTAGTTCAAAGTCAATCTTAAGTGGCCATAGACTCAATTTATATGCAATGCCACAGTGGCAACCGGACAGCGTACATAGCACCAACAAGGCAGAGTATAAGGCGAATGTCATTGACGTGAATTGACGGAAATGCTAGGATCAGCAGCTAGTCTTCGATCGAGCTGTCAAATCCAGGGAAACATCAGTGACACAAAACCCCTGATAGCGTCATGGTTATTGCTGACATTATTAGTTACGGGTAGGACTAGTGAAATCAACATGATGTATGCACCAAGCGATGATGCATACGCAGATCCAGGCCGGAACGTTTCCTCCGATGGCTACACAGCGCTGCAGGCCGCTTCGAGGTAAAGTGCCCATCGCAAGCATCAGTTGCCAGATCTCTCATCTCATGAATTGTCCGAGTTAAACTTTCCGCTTGTCATCTGACCAAGTTATAGGCTATTTCATTGTAGCCTTTCTCGTACAGTAATGCAGGCGTCTCTTACGGACTCCCCCAGATTGTACAGCGCTTGATCCTAGCGCGACAGATCGAGTCCGGGGAAAAGTGGACACTCCCGGAAGTGGAAGCATGAGCCGCTGAGGTCATGCCCAGATATGGTCGCATCATCGACAACGGAATGCTGCTGTCACCATCTGATCACAATTGCCGTGACGTCTCGTAATATTCGTCACATCTAGTATGCATATCAGCTGCTATGAGTTAGACGACTCAGCTGATTCATCAAGATCCGGTGAATGATTTTCCTGGATGAAAGGAAAGTCGTTGAGCCGTTGTATAAGATGAAGGCTTAGTTAGGCATAGTTCTTACGTCTAGTGATGTGAGGCTTGCAGTAGAGCAAAACTACCCGCGATGGATATTACGAAATGTTACGGTAATGTGCCGACTCTTGAGATGCCGAACACTACAAAGTCATGGAATATCTCGTAGCACAATACCCATTCCGGGTCCAGAATAACCTACATATTTACCGTTCAATTGACTTTCATATTTACTCGACGTGTCGCAGCCCCTGCCGAACTCCCGGAATGGAGGATACTAGACAATTACCTGATGGCATCATCGAACTCGCACCGCGGACAGGAACCTCTTTCTTCGTCAACAAAGGCCAACGCCTAACAGTAATCGATCCAAAGGGCGGTCAAGTCTCTGACCTCGTGGCATTCAACCGACACGACACAGACGAAGTCATCTCCAACGGACGCACATTTGACTATGCAGACACCATATACCTAACAACCAACCACCCACTCTACTCAAACCGCAGCAACATCATGCTCAAAATCGTCGACGACACTTGCGGACGTCACGACTTTCTGCTTACGCCGTGTTCCAAAGATACCTTTCGCATCATTTACGGCGACAAGGAGCCCCATCACGGCTGTTTCGGCAACCTCTCCCTTGCGCTAGGCAAACATGGTATCGCGCCAGATCGCATTCCTTGCGCGTTCAACTGCTTCATGAATGTGCCTGTTGACGGGAAGACGGGCAAGTTCACGGTGGAGCCGCCTATCAGTAAGGCCGGTGATCACATTGACTTTGTCGCGGAGATGGACCTTATTGTTGCGATCACTGCCTGCTCGGCTGGCAAGTCTAATGGCGGTAGCTTTAAACCTATTCAATACAAGATAGTTTAAGGAATAATGAGAGAAATGCTAGGTATGCATCCTGTCACAAGGTTTCTGTGGTTTCACAAACGGTCTCGGAAGGGATAAGTGGTGATGCTGAGATTTGACGGCGTCATTGATCTTCTCAATGTTTAGCTCCAGCTTACCCGCGCAATAGTTAGTCTGCAAAAGGCCCCGGCAGAGATCTACCCGTCTTAAAAATAGATGACACTAAGCTATCGGGATATTTTCCAAACGATCAAAAGTCTTCAACGTCATCCATAGTTTATGATTGAATATGAGCGTTGAGGGACGGGTAGACAGAGATGATGCCTACACAGCCGATCGATCACTAATCCGGCTGCGGCCCGCCAGATCGATCGTCTGGGGACTCGATGCAAGGGTTCTGATGTGCCCCCTATCTAGACTGTCCCGTTGACATTGTTTCCAATCACCTTTTCCAAGATACATGCATAGGACATTTGAGAGTACAGAGGTTATTGACAGCAACTCTTTTGCCGCAGACACCGTGCCAGACTAGCCAGTTTATGATTAGTTCTCAGTCATCTACGCAGATATCTCCGGAGAGCACAATGACAAACAAGGGCTCGATTGAACATGCTGTGAAAGGCAAGGGAGTCCATGTCGACAGCGACAATCGCATCTGCTGGGATGAAGATGCTGACCAGCACCCCCGGAATTGGAAATCCGGAACGAAGGCATACACTGTCGCTCTGATATGCTGGTTGGAGATGTACATGACGGCAATCAGCTCCTCTGGGGTCAGTTTGCTCACTTATACGGATATAACTCTACTAATAATGTTTCAGACGGCTACTGCAGAGTCAGCACGAGAGGAGTATGGTGTCAGCAGAACGATGGCCTATTTCGTCTTCGTCACCATGTGAGCTTTTGAGCTGGCAAAGGCGTCAATCATGTTGCTGATTTTCGAAATAGATACTTGCTCGGTCAAACCATGGGTAGCATCTTCTGCTCGCCCATCTCAGAGGTATTCGGGCGACGAACCATATATATCCTTGCAGCAACATTATTCTGCATCTCGTCGGCGATAGTGGCCGCGGTACCGTCAATAATCGGCGTATATTTCGGCCGTTTCTTCCAGGGCGTCGCTGCAGCAATTCCAGCGACTGTCGCTTTTGGCAACTTTGACGATATGTATAATGCTGAGCATAGGATCTGGGTCGTCTATGTGTATACCATCCTTGGTATGCTGGGCCTGGCTCTGGGTCCTATTTACTCGACATACATCACTTCAAGTATAGGCTGGTAAGTCTAGAGGTCATCGAGATGCTTTCCGGTCTGACATTAAATTAGGCGCTGGGTATACTACATCTCTACAATCGTCATGGGTGTCACAGCTTTTGCATGCATTTTCACAAGGGAGTCAAATGCAAACCAATTACTCGACAAGATTGTCAAAGATATACGGGAAGAAACCGGCATTGAAGACGTCAAGTCTAGCAATGAAGAGGGAGAAAAGTTTACAGTGGCATCCTTTGCGCAGAACGCTCTCTTCCGACCCTTGCAGTTCCTCGTCACGGATCCCCTGGTCTTCTTCTGCGCCGTCTTATGCGCCATCGCATTCGGTCTCATCTACGGCTTGACAGAATCATTGACCATTGTCTACACCGCGCCGCCGTTCAACTTTTCGCAGAACAGCTCCAGTCTTGCATTCCTTGCCATCGCAATCGGCGAGGTGATCAATATCCTGCCACGGATCTACGATGCACATATATATAAGAAATATCGCAGAACTCACCTACGCATCCTCCCAGAGAGCAAGATCACATCGTTTGCAATTGCAGCGCCATCTCTTGCTATCGGCCTGTGGCTCTTTGCCTGGACCATTCCCCCAAGGGTCACCAACGTCCCTTGGCCTGTCAGCATGATTGGTCTGGTAATGATCGGATTTAGTGCCAATGATTTTAGTTATGTGTTGTTCGGATATGCCACTGACAGCTATGGTGAATATGCTGCCAGCGCTGTCAGTGCGATCAGCTTGACGCGTACCCTGACTGCTGCGGTGTTTCCTCTCTTCACGCATCAGATGTATACGGGGTTGGGCAGCAATATTGCAACGAGCATCTTGGCGGCGGTGGCGAGTCTTTTTGCGTTCACGCCGTTCTTATTCTTGGGGTATGGATCAAGATTGAGGCATAGAAGCAAGTTTGCGGCGGACGATGAGCAGGCCCTGGAGCAGGAGAATCTTCATATGAAGGACAAGGACTAGATGTTCCCTCATAACATGTTGCCCTTTACACAGGCTTATCGAAGTCCAAGGCCTTCTGCCTCCGTCTTTTACAAGCTACTTGAGAAATTGAACAAGCAGACTCGATCAGGTCACAGACCTTTAGTCAAGACAACTGCATTTGGGCCCATGTCTTTCATCACGCTTGCGATACGACTCAGTCTCGGTAAACTTACTACTGTATAAAATTGCTCCAATCCAAACTTTCATCGAAGCTATTGTAAGCTTCCTCTTGCCCACTGAAACACTCTTTGAACCTTCTTTCAGAATTGACAATAGGAGGATAGGGCTTAGGCATCATACCCATTATCTCCCACGTCCTACCCCCTCCATGAGACGTGTGGTTATACGTGAAATTGATGCCTTTCTCCCGCGCTAGCTCGTTTACCGGTTCATATATATCTTTGTCTATGTCACCAGACACAAACAACCATATCTGAAGAGTTTTCAGCGCACAGAAATGGGTACCAGGACCGCAAGACTTCAGCAGCGTACAAAGTCGTTCGACATGCTCCAGAACAATTGGCTGATCACACGGGAGATCGCATTCGAGACCAAGATGCTCAAGTGATCTTGGTAAGAAATCCAGCATTTCCTCGTTTCGGGAAACATCACGATAGTTGAGAACGTGAATATCCATGGTGAGGCGCTTCAGCTTGATCATATGTTTAAAGCACTCTTTGAAGCATTCAAAACGCGCCTGAGACGCGTTCTCTAATAAAGCCGAGTCATGCCTGAAGCGGTGCGTAATAAGATCGAAAGCGAGCTCCTCCAAAGTTGCTGCATGGAGGAGCAACGCTTGTCGAGTGAGAGTGAGGCTGTCATGTCCATCCTCGCTCATTCTGGAGGGGTTTCTCCAAGTGAAGACGAGCTTCTTCAGTCGTTTGCAGGCGCTAACAACAGTGAGCAGTCCTTCGTTCGTGAGGCAAGCGGAGTTTAAGAATAACTCCTCAATAGGCGAAGTCCCAACAGGGAGCCGTGTCTCATAGATATCAGGATCCAAGCACAGTCTGACATGTTCGCCCTGGTCCTTCTCATCTGAGATGCTTCTGATCGGTATCTCGTCAGATAACGCCGAGAGAGCAAGAGTTTTGACATTCGGAAGGTGGAAGAATGGTGCCGCACATTGAATATTACCGGGATTGTCATCGCGGTGCCATCTGATCACGGCGAGTTTAATGTTCTCTAATGGCCGTTGGGGACCATTATGCCTAAGAGCTAAACACACAAGTTTTAGCACCAGCAGTCTTGACCCTAGATCATGTGGAATGATAAGATCCAGGCTCTCGACTCTGGTATATAAAACCACGAGAAGTGCTGCGACATGGTCTGCCCATCCGTAGATCAACCCTCCACACCATTGAGTATCATCGGCGAGCTCTGGATAACGTTGACGCGCTGCTGTAGCAAGTTCATCAAGCTCGCCATATCTACCCCAAGGATCACCCTCGATAGGAAGCTATCCGTCAAAGACTAACGATTTGACGTTCCTTTGGAGGTCAGGATTTCGAACGAGATGCATTGCAAACTGAGCAGATGCTTGGCTGTGCGAGGTCGACCGATAGAACGGCCAATGGCGGACGACAAGCGGTGAGGCAATTCTGTACAATCTCTTATTGGCATATGTGACTTGGAGCAGCGCGAGACGATCCGAATCGCATATGAGAGTGCAGATATCAGTGAGTATCTCATCTGGGAGGTCCAGTAGTTGTCCCATTCTGTATGTCGTAAAGCCTGTTGAGAGTGAACCAAGCACATTATCAAGTGCTGCGGGGTTGCTAATGAGATTAGAAAAAGATGACAATGTCACGTGCCATTTCGCATCAGAGGAAGAGGGAGGAGTTGCGGTGTTTACAATGTTAAACAGTAAAGCAGTTTGAACAGTTCAATGAATATACTATATAATGAAGAAATATGTAAAATGAGAAAAAGTGTCAAAGGTGACTGAGGAAACACTACTTCTCAGCCTTGACATCAAAGCGGTCCAGGTTCATGACCTTGGTCCAGGCAGAAATGAAATCCTTCACAAACTTCTCCTTCGCATCAGCGCTACCGTAGACCTCGGAGATAGCACGCAACTCAGCGTGAGATCCGAAGACCAGATCAGCGCGGGTAGCAGTCCACTTGACGGACTTGGTGGAGCGGTCAGTGCCGGTCCAGAGCTCACCACGGTCGTCCTTCTTGGCCCACGAGTAGGCGGGGGAGAGAAGGTTGACGAAGAAGTCGTTGGTCAGCTGGCCCTTCTTCTCAGTGAGAATGCCGTTGGAAGAACCGTCGTAGTTGGCGTTCAAAGCACGGAGACCACCGACGAGGACGGTCATCTCGGGAGGAGTAAGTGTAAGAAGAGCAGCACGGTCAACGAGAATCTCCTCAGTGCGGGCACGGGCAGTGCCATGTCCGTAGTTGCGGAAACCATCAGCAAGAGGCTCAAGGTAACCAAATTGGACGAGATCGGTCTGGTTCTGGGTAGCATCAACACGGCCAGGAGTGAAAGGAACCTCGACGTCCTTGAAGCCAGCGGCTTGAGCAGCCTTCTCAATAGCAGCAACACCACCGAGGACAATCAGATCAGCGAGAGAGACCTTCTTGGAGCCGGATTTGGCGTTGAAGTCCTTTTGGACCTTCTTCAGGGCAGAGAGAACCTGCTTAAGCTGCTTAGGGTTGTTGCTGGCCCAGCTGACCTGAGGCTCAAGGGCAATACGGGCACCGTTGGCACCGCCACGCTTGTCAGTTCCACGGAAAGTAGAAGCAGAATTCCAAGCAGTAGAAACAAGCTTAGAAACATCAAGACCATCAGTAGAGAGGATAGTGGACTTGAGGCTAGAGATCTCAGCCTCACCGATGATGTCGCCCTTTCGTTCAGGGAGAGGATCCTGCCAGATGAACTTCTCCTTAGCGACCTCGGGTCCGAGGTAGCGAGAAACAGGGCCGAGATCACGGTGGAGGAGCTTGTACCAGGCGCGAGCGAATGCAGCATTCATCTCCTTGGGGTTGTCGTGCCAACGCTTGCAGATCTTGAGGTACGAGGGGTCGTTGATGAGGGCGAGATCGCTAGTGAGCATGGTGGGGCGGCGGAACTTGCCCTTGACGAAGGGGTCGGGGTACTCGAGCTTGCCGTTGAGAGCCTCCCATTGTTTGTGTCCAGCGGGGCTCTCGACGAGGGTCCAGTTGTTGCCGAGAAGAGACTTGAGGAAGTGGTTGCTCCACCTGGGATTTGTTAGTAAGAGTGAGACTGAGGTTCAGAGGGGACATACTTGGTGGGAGTGGTGGACCAGATAACCTCAAGACCGCTGGTCATCTGGTCAGGACCGTTACCCTCGTTGACGCTGTTGTGCCAGCCAAGACCCATCTCTCCAAGGTCAGCAGCCATGGGCTCAGGGCCAATGTTCTTAGCAGGAACAGCACCGTGAGTCTTGCCCAGGGTGTGGCCACCAATGATGAGAGCAGCAGTCTCCTCATCGTCCATACCCATACGGCCAAAAGCAGTACGGATATCAAGAGCAGAAGCCTTGGGGTCAGAGCTTCCATCGGGACCCTCGGGGTTGACGTAGATGAGACCAAAGTGCGTAGCACCAAGGGGCTTCTCGAGCTTGTCGGCACGCTCGTAAATGTCTGTGCTACCGTTGTAGCGAACGTCGTTACCCTTGGGGACAAAGGTGGACTCGGCTCCCCAGTAGATGGACTCATCGGCCTCCCAGGTGTCAGCGCGACCACCGGCGAAACCGAGGGTCTCGAAGCCGCTGTGCTCGAGGGCAACGTTGCCGGCGAGGACGATCAAGTCAGCCCATGAGATCTTGCTGCCGTACTTTTGCTTGATGGGCCCTGCGATTTGTTAGATTTTGCGGTTTGTGTGACGGCTGTGTAACCTACAGAGCAGACGACGGGCCTTGTCCAAGTTCTGGTTGTCGGGCCAGCTGTCGAGAGGTGCGAATCTTTGTTGACCCTGTGTCCGTTAGCAAAGCACTCGAGAATATGATATCGACATCATGACTCACCATTCCGGAGCCACCTCGGCCATCCATTGCGCGGTATGTACCAGCGCTGTGCCATGACATACGAATGAAGAGACCACCATAGTTACCATGGTCAGCAGGCCACCAATCCTGAGAATCAGTGAGGAGCGCGTTGAGGTCCTTCTTCAGGGCAGCAACTGCAAAAGAAATCAGTAAATAGTCCTCATTCCGAGAATTCGTCAAACTCACAGTCCAGAGACTTAAAAGCCTCGGTGTAGTCGAAATCAGCACCCAATGGGTTATACTGGGGTGAAAACTGCCTCAACACATCCAATCGCAGAGCGCAAGGCCAAAAGTCCCTGGATCGAGTACCGCCACCAGCCTGGTTGCTAGCGACGCGGCAGATGCCAAAGTCCTCGGGGATTTCTCGCGGCGGGACGAGATTAGTGTCCGTGGCGCGCTTGGCAAAAGGGCAGCCCTGGCTAGCGGCCAGAGGCACGAGGCCAGAAGCCAGCAGAAGTGATTGTACGTGCATGGCTGAGGAGTATGTGCTGTGACTGTGAGGTTGTGAGACTGACAGACGAACAGAACTAGAAAAACGGGCGGATTTATGTTTGGTTTTGTACCCGCAGTGAAGAGGCAAGAAAAAGAAGGTTACAGTGACGATCTACAGGGGGCTGGTACAGCGCCAAGTCGGCAGTGTCAGTGGTATAGGGCCTTATGCAACAGGTCAGACGCTCGGATTAGCAATCGAGGCTCAGTTACAGTGCATCTTAGTCTAGCCATTGGTGCATGGATCAGAGAGAGACCTTGGCCTGGCTGCGGTATCACAAGGATAAACCCAGCCTTTTCTTGCCTCTTCTAAGCAGTGTAATCCACACCAACGTCACTGACCCCTCCTGCTTGTTTCCCAGATAGTGATAGGCGGTGACGATACTGGAATCAGACGTCTCGTCCGTGGATTCATTGTTCGTGTGGAGACGGAGAAAATCTGGGTGCTAGGGCGAGAAAAGGAAAAGATCCCTGATAAGCGGCAATGCCAATGGAATCACACGCACCAACTGCCGACAGGGATGGTAAATCACAGGACTGCTATTGGTTTACGTGAGACTTGGGCCATACTGAGAAGGTGGTAGCTTAATATAAACTTTTGGAGAAGACCAGTGAAACACATGGTTTAGAGTTTATCATTTACCCTTGAGGAATTGGCCTTATGCATGTTGTTTTCTTAATAATTTTGAGTAGAAGCTGACTGATCAAGCCTGTCTCTGTTGGAGATAGATTGGGCAGAACCATTCTTCTAATCGCCCTGCCAAGCTGTGATTATCCCACATATGATCCGACTACCCACTCTTGCTCACCCTGCCGTACCGCAACCAATCGGAATATTGTCAAACAGATTAGCTAGGTAAACGATCAATGCCGTGAGCGCGGGCCGGAGTAAAGCTCCTCTCTCCTCAGAGGGCGGCCAAACATCCAATCTTCGGGTGCAGTGTCACCTCGGGCTCTTCCCAAGTTCCCGATTACAGTGCAGTACGTAGTAACCCGAGACAAATTGAGCTGGCCTCGTCTGCTGTACAACCCCGTATTTTGCGAAAGCAGATGACTTTTTGGTGTATCTTTGTGTACAAATTATCTGACCGCAGTGCTCGGGCTTGCTGACAATAAGCTCAATCTCATCCCTGCGCGTTGCTCAGTCGTCAGCAGTAACTATTCGCGTTTTGATTCGCACAGCTTGTTGCTTGGCTCATTTATCATCACAACAAACTACAAAAATAAGCATACGCACACAAACTGCGGTCGCATTCTGGGTCCGGTCGATCCATGTACCCGAACCTTTGGGCCATACAATTCTCAACAAGTCATCACCAACAAAGCAATTAAATTCTGCATGCTCATCCCATCTCCCAAGACATTTTTTGCTAATAATAGCAATGCCCTTCTGCAGGCGACATCTTGGCTTCACAAATCCCGCAGGTCAAATGGTCTGATCCCAGCGTAGCAATTCCCTTATGATCGAACCTAACCCGCCAAACCGTCCAATATCACGTTGAGAACAGTGAATTCTTGGGGTTTCATGCAGCGGCAACTCTATCTAGAATGTCACATCCCGCTTTGCGAGCCCATTGGTCCTCGCTACGCCGTGGCAATTTCGCCCGGCCGTGCCCCATCCCTGATCCCAGGCCTTTATCGACGCTTTATCAGTAGGATTCAACGGTTTTCCCCTCTCGAAGAAGAAGCTGCAAAGACGCAAGTTCCTCTTCCTTTCTGCATCGACATGGCGCAGCTGCAGCGGATGCAACTTTTGGTCAACAGAGCCGCGACCCTGCATAGACACATAATCACGATCCCAGCCACAGAACGGTGAATCAATTCGTGCGATTTCTCAACCGACCTTAGCAGAAACTCTATTATTAGCTCTGCGCGCATTTGGGTACCTGCATTACTATTGCCTGCCATTTCATAGGATCTTTGTTGCTGCTGCAGTAAACTTTCCATGGATATCCTTTTCAGCAGTGCCGTGAATGGACATACCGTAATCGTGCAGGTCCAGAAAATTGATTTGGAAGCATGCGGAGTAAATTAGGCAGTCGAGCGAGGTAAGCTAAGCTAAACAGAACAGGGCAGAGGAGAGGAGAATCGTGCGGGGGGAGAAACATCATCACGCGAGGGCAGGGGAGCAGGGGTTAATAGCGCTCGCTTCGCCACCTGTTGACGTTGACCTTGGAATCGCTGAGCGCTAAACTTTTTCCGGTCATTGGAAGCGTTCTGAATGTCTTCAAAGTTTAACAGTCTTGTCGTCAATGGTCTTTGCTACGATTCGCTCGTCTCACGATGGTTTTGGTTTGAGTACGGATAGCGGCAAGTATACAGCTTGACATGGAGCCAGGACGCGTTGCACTCGTATGACGGACGGGTTGGAGCCTTACTTCAAACCGTAGAGTTTAGATGTTCTGAGGGGTAGTGACATGCTCCGAATACCCTCAATTGAGGCATAGTCGCGGGATAGCGATCATGGCATTTCGGCATGATGTTGCGGTAATTGAGACATCGAGATATCTTCGGTCCGACAGCTATTCTCCTCTTCGGCATCGTCGGCAGCATCTTAACATCACTGCAATATAGCCATATTCATCGTATGTAGTTCATTAGAGTTTCCACCATTATTAGTATTAAACATTAGCTAGTCCGTACGGTATGTCCCGCATCTAACGTAGCTCCAGGGTATATCCTTCTCTCAGTTCCTGATCTATCCCAATTAAGATGTCGCTTATCGTGATATCCTCTGTTCGCACCCGATTCTATCCAAATAGCCTTTTCTATCTTTTGAAATACTCGTTACTCTCGGTGACTGAAAAACGGAAGACGTGCCTCTCCCTCCGGAAGGATATTTTTTCGGAAATTGGAGTTTCTCGGCATCAACCCCAGCCTTGATCGGCAGTTCCTCCTCCTCCTCCTCTTCTTCATTATCGCTGCGCGTATCTTCTGCATTTCCACCACGAAGCACTCGAACGACCAGTTTGACGATCATGACAAACCATACAAGCATAAGTGCTTCCAGGAACAGAAGCCCGCTCACGAATAGTGTCTTGATAGTGTAGTCGTAGCATACTCTCCCATTGGTGTAGATCAAAGGCTCAAACAGATAGAAATAGCCATGTGCCGGAACCGCTGAAGGACCAATGATGTTATTTCCTGAGCCAGCGAAGCACTTCGGCCCGGCGATGGCTAGACTATGCGCGTAAACAGACCAGCATACCATCGGGAACGCAACATGGCGGCACAGCACCCAGCTGACAACGAATGCGCCGAACATGAAATCGCACAAAGACTGCAGCTTCATGTACTTCAGGCACTTCGCGGTCGAGAAAATCAAGTCGTTAAAGTCCATGAGGATGAGGACAACGTTGCCGACGCGGGTGAGGCCATATCGATACGAGCAGTACACCAGAGCAATTGTGACGACATGGTGAGAGAGCATCTGCCAATGATCCTTGCGACGCTTCTCGATATTAATGACAATCATCTGCTGAAGCCAGAAAGCCAATTGCGCGAGCATGTAAATCTTCATAAGGCCGGATATTTCGCGATTCGGCCAATTCGTCCACATAGCCTGAAGATCCATCCAATACGACGAAGACGCATAGATGCACTGCCGACATTAGTTAAACACTCCATCTAATTGGCGGGGACGTCAATCATACCATGCCAACAGACCAGCAAGTAGCATAGTAAATCACCATCCAAGCCTGTTCCTTGAACCGCATGGATCTAGCCCTCCCTAGTCCCCAGGCGGCCGCCACCGGGTCCAGAACGAAGCGCATCGTAGCATCCCGCAGACCCGTCAACACCACGATCAGAACGGCCACGAGGTAATTGTCATCGAACCCGACGCCGTATTCCCCCGTGAATTCGTCTCGGTACGAGAGCGACGTGAGCTTGGCGGTGAGGAGACGTGTAAGACTGTTGCATTGCGCGATGAGCAGAGGGGTCAGAATACCGAGGCATATGCCTAAGAAAGTCAGTATTGTGGAATCGCGTCGCCGAGTGGGATGGGGTTTGTTTTCGTATATTTACCCAGTTGGTTATCGATAAGCCATTGCTTTACGGAGGTTTGTTCCTGGCATCGTTTCGAGCGTAGTTTTGCTGCCATAGCGACTTTTCCTAATTGATGCAGAGTGAGAGGGGGAATTTGTGCGGGATGGAGTTTTAAATGGCTTCGGAAATAAAATGGAAAAATAGGTCATTTAAACGTTAAATTTGTCTCAAGGTTTTGTGGCCGTGAAATAAGGTGATCATCGACTCACGTATGGAACCATCACGCCGCCCGCGGGGTTCCGACCTAATTTGCGAAAAAAAGGGAACCGAATGAATGCGAAAAATATTGGATGTTTTAATTGGGATGCGCATATGAAATGATCGACGTGTTCGTGTTCGGAGCTAATGGGTTGACTTTTTAAGGGTCGCATCTTGGATCATGAGCTTATCTGGCATGATGGGAGATCTGTCGAAGCTTAGTTTGTTCAACGTTTGCGCTTTGACATTGATCGGCCGATAATTGGATTGAATGGCATCTCGTGATCGGATTGAAGAGGAGTTGGCATTGTTGAGATAAGGGTTTTGTCGCTGATTGCTGGTTCCAAGTTAGACTTTAGGCTGCGAATGCATGTGACGAGGTCACGATATCATTTTCACAATGTAAAGTTTTACCCAAAAAGCTTCCATTCAAGGTGACTAAGAAATCCGATAAGATTGGCTAGAATACTATGACATTCTTGCCGCTGTTCCTACCAGTCAAATATTCTTGTCTCATCTTCTCAGCATCTTCAAGCTTCCATTCCTTGATCTTGACTTGGATGTTGTGCTCCACGACTAGTTCCAAGAGCTCCTCAGTTTCATCGGTTTCCGCGACAAGAGAGCCAATTAGTTTGATATCATGAAAGATGGCATTTTGATAAGATAAGGTAATGCCCTTGTCAGGCTGACCCAGAAGAACGATAGTTCCATGCTTGCGCGTCAACTTGGCTGCGAAATCAAACGCGGCGGGGGCATCAGTTGCGATTATCGTGGCGTCAAGACTAGGGTAGTCGCCTTTTATAACGTTGGTGATCTTCTCCATAGAAGTTTCAGCTGTGTCGGTCGATAGGATACAGATGTCGGGCTTCAGAGCGTAAGATGCGACAAGGTCTAGGGCATCTTGCTTCACATCAATCGCAGCCACTTGATATCCCTATATGGATTCATATCAGTCTCAAAGAATTACTACTGGAAGACTTCTGATCAACCATTGCTTCGGCAACTTGCGTGCCGATAGGGCCAAGACCGCCAATGCCGACAATACCAATCGAGCCGCCATATGGGACTTGAGCTTTCTTGATGCCTCCATAGACGGTGATGCCGGCACACATCATGCAAGCTGCAGTAGGGAAGTCAAGTGAGTCTGGGAGTTTCACAGTAAATCGAGCGTCGCTGAGAATTGTAAACGCTGCGAAAGATATGCAGGCGTGAGGTGAAGAGAAGTACTCACGCTGCCATGTATTCCGCCCATGCCCCATCCGTCGTGATCCCTTTCATCAGTGGATTATCGCAGTAGATCGGCGTACTGGCCTTACAGTCGGGACATTTCCCTAATCATATGAGCACATAGATTGCCTCATGAGTATATATCCTACCGCAACAGCTGTCAAAGTTGAGGCATCCGACTCGATCACCCTCCGCAAACCCTTGAACCTCAGATCCGACTTCCGCAACAACACCAGCTGACTTATGTGACTTAAAGAACGGTAATTCCGAACCAAATGAATTTTCAAGGGCCATGCAATCAGTGTGACAAAACCCGCCCGCCTTGATCTGGATGAGTAGCTGATGGGGTTTGGGTTTTGGCTTGTCAACATCGGAGATGGTATAGGGTGCGTTGAACTCCTTGATCTGAATGGCTTTCATGATGATACTGGTCTATAATGTAATGTTTCTGTGTCAATCGGACTTTGCTGCATTTTGAAGTCCAGAACCGGATTGGTTCTCAAGAGACCTACGTCATACAATGCTGGCATGTGATGGGGACGCGCTAGGACTTGATTACACGCCACGTTGGCAGAGATCTATCTATTCTACCTACTGCAATTGAAAAATGGGATGAAATAGTGGCTTTGCGTACTAAGTGATTAAATAGAATTTGTAGACGCAGAGGCCATGAAAGATCGAGTCCCAGGTGCGTGTTATACTCGCAGGAAAGAAACTCTGATCAAGTCCAGCTCCAACTTTGGAGGATATTTGAAGCACCACTTGGTCTTCTGTTCCATCGTAGTAACAAGTAAAGTCTTATAGAAGTATCTTGTATTGAACTCAGACTGAAGCGCTCACTACCTCAACACACTGAGTGTCGAGTAACTAACCTTGGCGCGACAATATCATCATCGTTGAAAAGAACAGATACTACACAACGAACATGAACGTTCGCCAGCGCCCCCAGTTCCCAAAAAAGATAAATCTGAGCTCAGGCTGAACCGTTCGCATCGCCCAGGCCTCACGCCACTGGGGAAGACGCGGGTACGACAGTAGCATCTCGCTCGTAATAAGAGAGTCATAGGTTAGGTTCATGCGTGGTTTGGCATGAACACGTATAAATGGCCCCCAAGGGCCATTCCCCCAGTTCGCAACAGTCCCAGTGGAATTTAGGACATCGAAGGATCACTGACCAGTCAGGCTGGTCAGTTCTTAAAGTGACATTCAAAGTGGGCTGGTTCATTGATGACAAGAAATACTGTAATCTGCCATGGGGGTTGACGCCCCTTTATACCTGGGAGACAGGGCTAGATAAGCTTTGGATTTTGGCCACAACTAATTCTAAATAAGATACATGCTTTTTAATCTACAGAAAAGGGAAATCAATGACTGTGCTCTTCATGTCGTGACACGTCGCAAACTTCACAGCTCTGTCCATGGGTCCAAACTCAGACTGAATCCTTGGCATTTCTCAAGACCTGAGCCATTGAGAGTCGCATAGGTATTGCAGTATCATCATTGTTCACTTTTAAACTAGAGTATTTGTTGACATCATCTTTGGATCAGAAGATGCGTCCCCCCGAGTTCGAGCCTCTCGTCAAATGCAGGTTCAACTGCATCGTTTCCTGATTTGCATTAGCTAATTTCTTCGGTGCATTCTTATTGCTCATCAGGGGCAAGGCGGCAAGTGTCGCAAAAGAAAGATAACAATCTCAATAAACCACGAGTCTTGAATCGTCGAACCGACAAACGGAATGCATGCTGATGGCGTGGCGGTCTCGAAGGCGGTGCAGTGGCTGGTAGTCTCGCCAAAAAAATGGAAGCACGTGATAACCCGGAGCGTCAACTCCGCCACGCGTAAAGCGACAACAAGAAGGGAAGGAACGACAACAACATTCCCCCACCTGCCCAAGAACATGAAGACAAGAAGGGTACTTAAGTTGCAAATGGTCAACACTTACCAACAGCAGTCAGTGATGAGAACAAACAGTACGAAGGATCTCTGAAATGACCTAACTTCAAGGAGGGCCGTTCTTAATGTGAACTGAAATTCTGAGACTGCAATTGAGACAGGCGGGGCCTGTCTCCCTTTTTATACTTACAACCAACAACTGAAACTCATTTTTGAGCGCGCCACGTCGCAAAGTCTGTTGCGCTCCTGCAAAATCGTGTCCAATTGTCCTTAACAATTTCGCAGCAAGGTTTGGTGGGCGCGCGTTAGTGGGGCTGGCGCGGAAGCATGTGGCAGGTACCTCCTGTTCCTGCTGTCACTCTGTCCTGGATGGTCGAACTGGTAAACTGCTGAGACTCGACACGTCGATTAATGCGATGGACGGGGATTCAAGTGTCGCATTCGCTGCAAATTTCTCCTGTTCTGACTTGCTCAAAAGATTGCTTGAATGGGACTGGGATTTTTGCTGTTTTTGTTCGACTTGCATCTTGCGCGGCTCGGGCCAGGGGCGTCAGCAAGCTTTTTGGACACAAACTCTGCCATTAATTGACCTACCAAATGACCTGTAGAAGGAAGTTTATGATTGAATTGCCGCGAATGCATGACTTCATGCAAAAGTTTGATCTGGGACGACTTGCCACCATTGGTCATGTCGGTTGTTGTGCAATTCTCCGACACCCATTTCACTTTGTGAGTCAGACTTTATCTGCCGCAGTAGAGTGCCCCCTGAGTAAGATCCCTTTTACAGGCGTTCGAGCTGAATAATATAGTCTCTTGAATGAAGTTGATGACAGTCACAAAGTGCCAGAAGGGAAAAGGGGCCCATCTACGTACGGGCTGAGGCTTTTCACTGGAGTCTGCGCAGTCCTCACTGCCATCCCACAGGTCATCCAAGTCCAGTGGAAGTCATTTCTCGCAAGATAAGACTCTTGGTACCTTAGCATGCCAGTCACGGCTATCGCCTCATACTTCGATAGTGTTTGCAATGTCCCGAAGTGACATCAATAGCTTATCTGCAAACTTTCGAAGATGCACTCTCGACATCAAGTGCAAGGGCCGCATCCTATCCAAGTCCCTGATTACATGTTGGCCCACAGATGTTCGATGGAGCATCACTTCTATAAACGCCGTAACTCAGAAATACGATGAGAGACAATCCATGTGCAAGGGGCTGTGAGGAATTTGGTGCTGACCAACTTCAGCATGGACTAGGACATGATGGACTGGTGAACGTAAACGTGGTATATAAATATGCTGAGGCCTGAAGTACAAGCTAGCTTCTCTGATTTGATGATGGTTGGCTCGACGGAAGAACTGTGAAAATGACGGTCAGGCCTCTTGTCCGCATAGCCATTCACTCTGGTACTGCAGGTAAATGTGACATGAAAGCGACGAGGCAGCGAGTAAGAATGTGTTCAAAGTCGGTCAGCCTTTCAGCTGGGAGTACTTGGGCCCTGAACAGTACTGGACGAAGACCAATTTGGCAATTCTACCACGACGGATTCTGACGGCAACCTCTGCAGCTTTAAAAGGCATCGACCGTACGCGAGATATGGCAGCGGCCGGATAGACAAAGATTTTGTTGACTGCCCCAAGGGATGGTCCGTTCCGACTGTAGACGAAATGCGGCAGAGCATGAAGTGGCTTGCTGATGGCCTGGCATTTTGCGTTGTCATGCTGGCCGACGATCTATTTAATTTTACGGTCCTGGGCATGGACAAGTCATTGAAGATCCCAGCTTTACAACCCAGATGACTGACTTTCCGCGGCATGTCTCACATCCGCATTCAATAGTACCAAGCCACAAAATCATGCTATGTATTCTTTTGGATACTTGGTACATGCCCCTTTGCACTTATTTAAGCATGCTAACATGCTATTCGGATTCATGTCCGCATTGCAGAATAAGCCGGGGACAAGCCTGCAGAATGCTTCTTTTCACACCGCCTGGCCTCGATTGTGAGACATACATGTTAGTGGCGACCATTTGCGGGATTCCTTCCTCATGATGACGATCATTGTTTCAGCTCGGCTTATGTGCTGCATTGAGGATACCAGCCGTTTCTGAATATTGCACCTGGACAGCCATCTTCTTTTTCTTTCGCACAATCGATGCCCCAACCGTGATTCTTGTCTGCTTATAATCTCTCTTAAAACCTTCAATTGCCTGTTCTCTGGGGTATTTTCATAATAGAAAATAATGTCAGTGCAGAACTGGTATACACGGCAGGATTTCCCCTCACTCCATGCATGGCCAGCAGGGGGTGACCAATAGCATATGTACTAGTTGTCAGCAAACTATTGCCCTTTCTGTCTAGTTTAAAAGCACATCAGTGGATATCATGTACTCTGTGGCTAGCTGAACGACCCAGAAGAGCATACTGCATGATATTCCATGCAAGTTAGTATCGTTTGGTTCCGGATACTTGAGCCCGTTCAAGCTGTGTAGATTCATAAGAAGGAGAGCAGTAGCTAATAATCAACACAGACTATCCTTACATCTATGGCTACTTCTTGTTATCTGTCGAAAATACTACATTACCAGTCATGGGTATCAACGACATTCTATTTGGCGCCCAACGTGGTTTGCCTCTGCCAGCCTCCTTTGGCCAAGTTCTGACTATCCGTCTCAAAAACCACGACGAAGAGACCAAAAAGGCAATTCTCGACATTGTGCAAAGCCTTGCACATGACATCGCAGACAATTACAAAAAGTGCGGTCTTGTAGCTGCCTTTTGTCCTAAACTTTGGGGCTCGTGGAATGGACGCGATATACCCATTCACACAGAGATTCTTGACCGTAAGATCAAGTTCCGCAATACCGGCGGCGATGTTGTCCTTTACATAAAGGCCACATCCAAAGACCTAGCGACCAAGATTGTGAACAAAGTTGAGAAACGCCTTGACGCTATCTCTATGACCATTGACAAGGTCGTGGCCGGCAAAAGGAAGGATATCCGCGTTGGCGGCGGGCGCTATGTTGATGGCATCACCAATCCTAATGATCCCGTCAGTCTGGCTGAAGATGTTCTCATCAGCAGCCCCGAAGAATACCGCGGTGCTAGCTTTGCCTTTACTCAGAAGTTCACCTTTGACTGGCCTCGCATTGCCACTCAGAGTGGAGATACTGAGGATGAGATGGTCGGTCGCAATCCAGATGGCGCTTCCCTGCCTCAGCATGCGACTCACTCGCACATTCATCGGGCTCATATCAGAGACAAGAACCAAGATCAGCGGAAGATTCTCCGCCAAGCACTGTCGTTCGGTAACAGTGGAGGTCACGCTGGCCGTGAGAAGGGACTCATGTTTGTTGCGTTTTGCAACGAACAACCCCGCTTCGAGCACATTCTGAAACATCTGTTGGGCCATGAGCCAGAGAATCCGCTCGATAGACTGATGGATGTTGTCAAGGCTCATAGCGGTGGTTACTGGTATGTTCCTGCTGCAAAGGAACTGGGCGTCCCTGCTGTCACGAGCCTCGACGATGTAATGGAAGATTCACACTGGGATGTTAGAAGCCCCAACGGCTATCTCTTTTACAACTCCCAGGACTACCTCCATCAGATGTCTCAAGGTCACTACATCGGCGGTGATCCTCCCAACGATAGGCTCCTGAGCTTACTTGGAAGGACATTCTCCCATTGGCGCGATGGCTGGATGGACAAACAGAATTTCCCGAGACTTCCTGAGCTCACTCACTTCTACGACACCAAGGAACAAAAGGACAAGGTCATGAGTGAGCCTGTCCCAGTCCGTAAAGGCCTCGCAAATCTCAAGACACTTACACTGTCACTGTCGGATCCAGAGTCCAAAATAGCTCGCTTCAATGGCTTGCTTCGCATTGATCCCAAAGAGCTCATAGTTGGTGTTATTCCGGATTTTACTCTGGGCCGCGGGAAAGAGGTTATCCCATACCTGTCGAAGGAGGAGACTATTGATGCTTGGCTCAAGGGCTCACTCAATGAGTGGTCAGCCATGGGTCATGTGGTTCCAGACTATGAGCGCCTCGCTCAAAAGGGCTTGGGTGAACTCCACAGCGAGCTACAAGCCAAAGCTGAAAATGCCAGCCAAGCCAAGGAAAAGTCCTTCTTCCGCTCTGCTCTCTTGTCTATCAAAGGAGTGCAAGGCTATCTACGCAACTGGACGATCTTGGCACAAAATGCAGCTTCTCACGCCTCGAATGAAGATGACAGGGCCAACATGGAAGATGTCTCCAAGCGATTGGCGCATCTCGTCGATCATCCACCGAGAGACTTCCAAGATGCAGTGCAGCTGGTCTTTTCCATGCACTGTTGTCTGCATCTAGTCGGCGAATTGACTGCTCTGGGTCGTCTGGACCAGATCCTTTGGCCATTCCTAGAGAAAGACAGTATCTCTTTGGATCGTGCCCAAGAGATTGTGGACTGCCTCTGGCTAAAGATAGGAGAGAACGCCTTCGTCAATCGTGCGTTCATCTACGACTACGTCTCATATGGAACCACAGCTGTCTGTGGCGTGGGCGGTAATTTTCCCCAGGGAGGTGGCATCAATCAATGGGTTCAGCAAGTCACTGTCGGTGGTTACAAGGCGACAGAGAGCGATACCCCAGAAGGCGGCGCCAATGAGGTCACCATGTTATGTCTCAAGGCTGCGAGGCGTATACCCGTCAATGCTCCTACTCTATCACTCCGTGTTTACAAGGACATGCCAGAAGAGTATCTGGATGAAGCTGCCAAGGCAATTCTTGCTGGAGGTGCACAACCAATTCTCTATAATGACGACAAACTCTGCAAGGGCTTACGAGATTCGGATCCCGACCTTGTTAGCACAGCTTGGTCAAGGAACTATGCTGCTGATGGCTGCTACGAACCCATGTTCGCGGGAGCATCAGAGTTCACCTTCAACAATGTTCAGCCTATGCTTGCTCTGGAGCAAACCATCAACCAAGGAGCGACCTATGGTGCTGCTGGGCCTGAGAGTCTTCGTGGACTGAAGCAAACCTTTCGATCGCTGCCGGCTCACAAGATCAAAACGTTCAAGCAGCTCCAAGACATCTTCCTGGAACAGCTGGAATGGCTTGTTATTCAGTGCTATAATGTCATGCTGGAGAACTACGGTAATCTCGCTGATATATGCCCGAGCCCTCTGCTGTCTGTCTTGATTGATGGGTGTGTTGAGAAAGGTATCGACCTGACCAATGGCGGTGCACGCTTTCACATCATGGCACCACTCTGTATTGGAGTCTCCAATACTATTGACTCACTGTTTGCTATACAGAAGCTGGTGTATGATGAAGACACTGCAATGACTACGCTTCCTGAACTTGTCGACTGTCTCATCAATGACTGGGGGTTCAACATGATTGAACCTTTCCAGGATCGTCACCTTGGCGCTGCTAGTGCGGCCCAGTATGGCGTGCGATACCAACAGCTGAGAGCTATGGCACTCGCGTTGCCAAAGTGGGGGAGCGGCGATGAGGAGGTGAACCGTCTTGGAGACTGGCTCATTGAGAATCTTGTGAGACTTTGTGTCACTAAGTTCAAGTCTTCAGCTCTGGATCAGCAGAAGCAAGAGATTGCTAAGAATCACCCAGGCCAAGACATAAAGTTCGTCATCACTCCTGGCATCGGCACTTTCGAAGGTTATGTCGGTGACGGCGCGCCTTGCGGTGCCTCAGCCGACGGTCGCCGTAACGGCATGCCCATTGCATCAGACCTTTCTCCCGTCCCAGCTGCACAGGACCTCCCTCCTAATCCTGCTTTCAGAAACATATACCAAGCCATGGAGAGTTATAAATCCGACGCTGTGACGTACGGGCTTTCGAACGCGTCGCCTGTGGACATGAACATTGATGAAGCCTTTCCGCTTGAAGATTTGAAGAAATTTGTCAAGCACTACGCGCAGGGCACAGTTGGTGGAAACCTGATCACGCTCACCTGTGCAAACGTGAAGACTTATGAAGAGGCGGTGAAAGATGCGGAAAAGTATAATCTTCTACGGGTCAGAATGGGTGGATGGACTGAGTTCTATGCTACTATGTTCCCTGAGCATCAGGATCAACACCAAAGACGACAATACTTCGAGCCTTGAGACGGCTGTCAGAAACCATGTTTGGAACTGACACCAGTGTTGCGCTGTTTGAGTTGTAGTATAACAGGCGAAATATAGTTCAGTACATGAATAGTGATATACAAATATGCATTTATTAGCCTTCCTTTGAGATAAGAATGTCGTTCAAGCGGACCGAAGCATATTGGGCGGTGAGTCTACGATAAAGACAGGTAAATGCATCAGGCATCAAGATACAGGCTATTGATGAATAATAATTATCAATATCCTACTTACACATACACAATTGCACAGCTCTGAACTGTTTTCTTGCATCAACCAATTCTATCAACGACAGTTCTATCCTATCGGCACAAGGCATTTGTTACAAGAAGCAGCTACTTCTTGTAGAGAGCGAAATACAAATACAAAGCTTTCAGTGCCAACATCAATAAATACAGAAAATATGTGTATACTCTTATGAGTACTGCGGCCACTCCGCAGTACAACTTCTAGTCTTAAAACGTTCAGTGTAGGCTCAGTTCAGCAACCTGTATCCAATACCGCCTCATCCTAAGGTGTCTAACCGCATTACGGGCTCCAAGGCTCATTCAACATATCGAAAACAGAGCAGTCGCAATAGAGTACGTGTCCCGGATACCGGAGGCGGTTGGGACGGACAGAAGGTTGAGTGTCATGCTCAGGGCTGTCGCTATTTGTACTCCCCTGAGAATCAATGCTCAGGCGAGAGAGTTCCGGCATCCGTCCTGTAGACGGGGCAGTCCCTCTGTTAGTTGATGGATGAGATGGCTGAGGCCCGGGTGTATGAGTCGATTGACCGATTGCATGGTGCTCGGGAATTGGGAACAGACGACTTGGTGTGGGAGGATCTTCCCAGGACCGAACTTGGAGCGTGCGGGTTCTTCTCCCAAGCATTTCAGAAGGATGACTCGCAAGGTGTTGTCTATTCCCAGGCTGCGGCTGGCCAGTCTGTTGCACGCCAGAGATTGCTCGACTGAGATCCTCAACAGAAGAGACGTATTGTAGGAAGCTTCTAGTTCGCCGATAGTCACGAATAGTACGCGTGCGGTGACGTGGGCGAACTACTCGGTTTGGAGTTCTATCAACAGACCGCAGTGAGTCGCGTCGAGAGTTGATAACACCTAATCTCCGTCGGGGAGCCGCGAGACGACCTCCGAAGGAGGTAGAAGATCGCCGCCGACCGCCCAGATTCTGTCCATGGGGTGATGCTGGAGGAGTGTCACGGACGCGAGTTGGAGACTGATTGGAGAGAATTGGAGGAGACGACGGGGACCCTTCCGTGGCTCTCTGCGGGGAAGCTGGGATAGAGCTGTCATCTGAGGCTTGGTGGTCGCCAGAAACAGTGTCACTGTCGAGATTGCGGAGATGAGGTGGCATAGTGACTAGTAAGCTCCAGAGATCTGACCGGAGCAGTGGGTCTGGATGTGCTTGGGGAACGAGACCTAGCAGGTCATGGAAGCTTCTGAGGAAGCCAAATGGAAAGAATGCCACGCTTTTCGCAGCTGAGGAAGAAATGGGGATGGAGGTGATTAAAAGGGCAGTGGTATCCATTAGCGGGAAGAGTACCGCTCACATTTTGGTCACTCATATCTCAGATGTTGGGAAGAGAGCAAGCTAAGAGCACAGATACACGCCGTTACAGAAGTGTTGGCATTATGGTGGCTGATATCATGAAAACTGGGAAAGAAAATACACGTCATAAATTCCCGACAGGTCCTGACCGACTGGGCGTTGCTAAGCTCAGAAGATCCTATTGTGCCCAAATGAACGCCTCATGAGATCATGAATGACTAGAGGTATCCTTGTAATGTCCAGCTGAAGAGAAATCTGCTGCAGCGCTCGGAGCTGTTCATGACCGCGGGGTGAAGCAGACCGAAGGAAAAGGCAAACTTGGATATTGAGAGAACATACAAGGGTTTCGCGCCGTTGAATCTTGGACGGTAAGCCAAATGCTTATTTCTAAAGTTGACAACCAGCGGGCCGCTGATCCAATTTTGGTCTCGTCATTAACATGAGCTAATGGAGGGGAATGCGACAAATCATTTTACACCAACTTCCTCACAAGCTATTCAGAACCCTGATGTTTTAGCTCAGTCTGCTAGTCTCAAAAACCCCTGATCTTGCAAATGGTGGCGCTGACAAAAGCTGAAAGTACAGTCAATCCTGGCGGTCAAGTTGCGCCAAGAGTCTATCCTGTTGAATGACAGGCTGTGAACTAGGGACGTAGCCGAGAGACATCGCACTAGTGTGACTCACTCTTATTTCTGCCGCTGATGACGATTCTTTGAGCTCCCGTCTCACCACAGCCTTCTGCTGGGCTCAAACGCCTGGCCATTGAGTGAACAAAGAGACAATCTCACCCTGGGGTTGGGCTCAAAGGACCTGGCCCAAGAGCGCAAGGAAACACCAGGCCTTAATACAGGATATCGAATAAACTTAGTAAAGAATGTGGTAAGTTTAGGCTAAATTTACCTAAATTTACCGAAATATCTTTATCACTTAGGGTTATAGTCCTGAGTTTTCTCTCCTCCAGCTGGTCTCAACATTAAGCAACCAAAACAGTGCAGCAGGGGAGAAAAGGGCGTTGCCCAAACTAACAGGGATATCTGCTAGGTTCTGTGCTTGAGGCGAAGCTGGTCAGCCACAAGATCACGAAAAAGCACTCTGGAAAATACAGGGGCTTGCGCTTTGAACGGAATCTTATTAGCTACGTGAACTAATTTATAGTATCCGCTCCACACAATCTAACCCGATTCCTTGTCACCTCCTTACAAGCGATAAAGTGTCGTCCAAAGGTGGACAAGAGCCCCTGCGGGACATAGCTACCCTCTGTATGATACCCCATGGAAGCGTGCTGCAGAAAGGTCTATCGTGAGCCTCCTTCAGGCTAAGCCTTAGCAAATTGGAGTTGGAAGCTGAGCTGATGGAAGGGAAGCCACGGGAGCGGGCACTCGTCCGAATCCGTCTCCATCAGGATGTCCGAGAGTCGGAGAACGAGAGACTTGTCATTAAAGACATGGTCGCCGTCAGCGTCTTGAAAGATCTGTCAAGGGTGGGTGAGTTAGACTTTGACCTGTACGCACTATGGGGGGATACCTACCGCTGGTTCAAGGCCGCAAACTGCTTCAACAGTCTCGTCGGGATTCTGTCTCGCGTGCCAAAGGGACACGGATGAAGGGCGCTGGTGACCCTTGATGTCGAAGCAGACTACTGTAGTGACAACGCCCTTGGTTTCGACGATGTAGTCTTTGGCGACCTTCTCAAGGGCATCTTGGGTTTGAGAATAGCCGACAAGGAAGACAAGGCCCGGCTTCTTGGCGCGAGAGTCACGCAATCGAATCCTCATGCGACCCAACCTCGGCGAAGCCGTGCCATACTCACGGATGATCGTCTGTCGGTGTTGGTAGTGCTGGATTCTGACATCGTAGGGTTCCCTGCACAGGGAGCCACCGATCAGCCTGCGGATCGAGACCCCGAACTTGGTAGCATAGTCGTCGTGGTTCTTGGGTCCCACTCTGGTGGTTACAATGCCGTCGCTGACGCTGTAGTCGTAGCGCTGGAAGACCTGGTCCAGCAGCGGGCGGAAATCCTCAAAGAGACGCGGTTCCAGTGGAACTGTCGCGAAGTAGGGTTCATCAATTTCAGGTTTAGTGTAGGGGCCAGAATACTGGCGAACGTTGTTGAAGATGCAATAGAGTGAATGGGCAACTCGGGATCTGCCGTTCAATTTATCCGTAGCAGAGTCACCCGGCTCGTTGGCCATTGTTGCTGCGTTGGTTCTGGTGGTGATGATCTTGAATAGAAAGTCGTTTTCTTGAGATCTTGGCATCGTTGTCAGTACAAGTAGTTCGATACAGCAAGGAAAGGACGGCCGGCTTGTTGCCGCACTTCCCAACTTACTTTGATTGAACACTACAGGTTGTCTGGTGCGCAGTGAGGTCGGCAGTTAAATACAGCCCGCCTTTCGGCCCGGGGATGCAGGCGCCTTGACCTGACAGAAAGAGATGGATGAGATGCACGAGAAGTCAAAGGAATGATATGCTCGGACCTCTTTTCTGTTCTGGTCTAGAAGGAGAAAGGAGAAAGGAGGAGGAGAGTAGAGGGAAAGGGGGTGGGCTAGGGGAGGAAAGAAAAC